TGTTTTTTAAGTTACATACGTTTTAAACAGACCATGTATGAAACATGGAACAAAAATTAGTTCCCAATTTTTTATTTCAAAGACCTGCAAATCATGTCAATAAATGGATGTATTTCATCATATCTTGTGTTATTCCATCTTTGAACTGTTGATGAAGGTACATGATTTTTCAAAAAAAAAAAAGTATTTAAAATGACAAAAATTTGCTTGGAAGGACTGACATATTTTATAGAAATAGTTTCCTTTCATTATGAAGTAATATTAAAGTATTCGGAAGAAAAAAAGCGACAAATTATGTAAAATCCTGCACCTTCTACTTGTTTGCACAATTTTCCCTCCGTTACTTTTCCCTCCGTTACCATGACCTTTCTTAATAAAAAATCTCATTACTGAAAAAGTAAGAGGTTTTTCAGCCTAATCTTGTACCATATGGTAGAAAACTATATGAAGTAAATATTCAAACCAGTTTGTTAAGGATATGTAAGTGAGAACCAAGAGTTATCACTGTTTGGATTTATTGCCCAAAAAGTGCTGCATATTTCATTCCCTCCGTTACAGACGTGAGTTTTTTAATTTTTTGTCAACAACTTGAAAGAATATCACAGGTTTAACTTGACCCTGTTGGAGTGTAACTCTTTCCTACATTCTGATACTTTACTTATTTCAATAGTCCCTCTAGTTTCTGAATAAGAGCTATTTGAATGTAAAAAATCTGCCCTTTTCCCTCCGTTACCGCTTGACCAGACCCATCTGTCTCCATGGTGACAAGCAGGTGACGCCACCAAGCAAGTTACAGGCCAGATCTGTGGAGAGGTAAGACCAGTCACAGTAAGAATGCATGTTTTTAAGATATCTGGGCGATAAAGGAGGAGGCAGAACAGTTATGTGATGCACCTTCAGTATCTGACAGACACCACCTGCTCCTGACAGGTTTAAAGTCTACTGTTTTCATAAAATCCATTCGGAGGCTTATGGAATTCAAAATTGGAGTTTTTTCTTTTTAAATTCATTGGTATTTCTATCTCATTGCAGCTAATGTCAAGTTTTGTAATGAGTCCATTTCATTTTGGCCTCCAGCTGTCTCCTGTAAACTCCTGCACATATGACACAGCATTTTATCTGTCCAAACACCTCTGTGGTTCACTTCTTATGTAAAAACTTTCTGTTTGGGGCATTCAAATCACTCGGTAACAGTAGCTGCTGAGGCTCGTAGTCTCATCTGATCATCATAAAGAGTTTTACGAGAAAAGCACATCTGGACATTTGACCCGGAAGGAGCGTACTTTACAAACCATTTTACATTTTTGCATCAATCATTGGCTTTCATTTTATAACATTCACAGGCTGTTCACAAACTGTCACACGAAGAAACTAAGACCAAATGTGAAGTAGCAATTGTATTTTCTGTACAACAACAACTACTACTACTGCTGCTACTGCTACTACTACTACTACTATTACTACTACTACTATTACTACTATTATTACTATTACTATTACTGCTACTGCTGCTGCTACTGCTACTACTACTACTACTACTACTACTATTACTATTACTACCATTACTACTACTACTGCTAGATTGTGTTCAAATAATTTCCCCTGTAGATGAATAAAGTTTGTATCTACCTACTACTACTGCTACTACTGCTACTACTACTATTACAACTGCTATTACTACTATTACTTCTACTACTACTACTACTACTAGATTGTGTCCACATAATTTCCCTTGTGGGTCAATAAAGTTTGTATCTAACTACTTCTACTGCTACTACTGCTACTACTGCTAGATTGTGTTCAAATAATTTCCCTTGTGGATCAATAAAGTTTGTATACTACTACTACTACTACTACCACTACTACTACTACTACTACTACTAGATTGTGTCCACGTACTTTCCCTTGTGGATCAATAAAGCTTGTCTAAGTCTACCTCTAAGTCTAAGTCTAACTACTTCTACTACTACTATTGCTGCTATTACTTCTAATATTATTATTATTAGAAGTGATATTAACTAGTACTAAATCAGTGATATTAACTAGTACTAAATCATTTTAGTGCGTAACTACTATATACTGTGGAGGTACAATTACTGCTGTAAAGACAATGTTTTTCAGGGTATTATAAAACATTAAAAAAGCATATCATTTCATATATAAATAGTCAGTCACATTATTTTAATTTACACAACATTCAGTATAGGATTTTTAATGTTTATCTTTTCAACAGTAGTTTTCATTGTCTCTAATCCTTTTCTCATGTAACCAGCTTTCTTTCTACAGTAATCCATAGCCCTGAGGTATATCAGGTGAATGTGCCCGGATACAGAGGAACAGCTGACCACGCCCACTCACAAACCTGCACTTCCTTATATGGCTCTGCTCCCAGCGCCGCTCCTGATTGGTGGAAAGGGGCAGGTATTGTGATGCAGACACACCTGTGCAGACCTGAGCGCAGGGTAACAGGTCTGAAACAGGGGGCAGGCAAAGACATGAGACTCTTGTTTATGGGAGTTTAATTAGAGGTAGTAGTATTTGAAGAAGGTAAACAAGTGGACAAGAAAAGTACTCATCATATAGTTTTTTTTTTTTAATTGAAGTACTGCAATAAAGTGCTGCTACTACTTCTGCCACCACCGCTATTACTACAGTTATTACAAATACTACTACCATATTTACCAAATAACTGCTCTGATGCAATACAAAAAATACTACTGCTGCTACTCCTTTTCCTCCTAAACTGCTACTACTACTACAAATACTATCAAACTAAAAAAAAAAAAGGTACATTTTCTACTTTTTCTTTTTGTATTATTTCCAATGTCTCACAACTACTGCTGTAAAACTACTATGTAAGATTTGCAGGAGGTATTAAAAAAAAACAACTACTATTACAACTATTGCTACTATTTCTACTAGTTCTTTTACTAGTTGTATTGTTAAAATTCAAAATTCTAATCAACTACTACTGAACAATTCTAATAAAAAGTATTGAATAGAAATGAATGAAATTGTCAAATACAACTACATAGCCTATTTCATACTGAAGGTACAAAAACTACTACTACTACCACTTCTACTACTTGTACTTTTTCCAAAGTTTAACCAAATACTGAACAATTCCAAGTAAAAAAGTACTGAATGAATACTGGCGGTACAAGAATTCTAATACTTTTTCACCTGCTACAACAATTACTACTACTACTACTACTCACTACTTGTATTATATCCACAGTCTTGTCAACTACCAATGAACCATTTTATATCAAATGAAAATGAATGAAAGTGTCAATTCTATTATATACTACATACTGAAGGTACACAAAAACTACTATTACTACTCCAACTGCTACTATTACTTCTACTAACACTATTACTACTTGTATAATTTTAGTCTTATCAACTACTACTGAACCATTCTTGTTAAAAGTTCTGAATGAGAAGAATGAAAGTGCCAAATAGTACTACTATACTATGCAGGTACAATTATCTCAACCAGCAATTACCTCAATCAGCTACTACTATTACTGCTGTTACTAGTACAACTCTTTTAAAATCTGAAAATATGATAATAGTATTTCTATTTTAGAACTAATGTTTTGTAATGTATTGTATTTTGTAATTCCTGAGTTCACTCTGTCTTGCATTTCATCATAAAGTTTTGGTTTTGCTGAGACACGTTCACAATAAATCTGAGAATGTTTGAAGTTTATTTGGGTCTATAGTACTGACCTCACAGAGAGTTGATAACTTTCCAGATGGAGGGCGGCTGCCACCTTCTTATATCCACAGAGATAATTTTGAGTTGCCTGGAATGTTCCACAATATGGCGTTAAATAAACATGTAAAATGTATTTAGACAGCTTTTATTACTGGTATAGGATTCCTTGAAAACCCTGCTTTGTGTGAGCACAGTCTCCTTTCCGCAGATATGACTTGTAATGTGGCTGGGGCTGTCACGGAGACGTTACTGGTTAAAAACACAGTGGAGCACTTCCTGTATTACCACAAGCCATCACAAGTCAAGTTTGAGAGAAGAACTCAGCCTAAATGTGCAGGGTTTGTGTGTTGAACATGTGTGAATGAAACAAAACAACTCCAGGTCTGTTTGTGATGAGGAAACATTAGAACATAGATCAGAATACAGTGTAATACGGGCCTTTTAAATAAAAATGACATGACTTGACCACTGCATGAGACTAAACACATTTGACAAACTGTCTGTATCTTTCCTGTAGCTGCAGTTTCCTGAGTGAGACAAACATTTCAGAGGAAGTCGCTCATCAAAACCGATTATGTCCCATCCCACTCTGCTGTTATTTTCATGCAGAAGTGGGACCAAGTCACTGTTGTCCAAGTCTTAAGTAAGACTCAAGTCTTTAACTTCAAGTCCAAGTCAAAGACAAAAGACAGGCCAAGTCAAGTTCAAGCCCTCTACTTTGAGCTTCAAATCATTTCAAGAACTTACATTAAAGTACCCAATACAGCTTGAAGTTATGCAATTTGAATGCTTTTCAAACTAAACTGTACTATTTTAAAAAGTCATGCAACAAATAGGAATGTAACAATAGGCCTATCCAAATCTCATGGTGCAATATTTATTGCAATATTTTGGAGACTGACAGAACTGTAGATATGCTACTCTCTTCTTTTTAAATGCCTCAACAAGACCTTGGTCTGAATCATTACTGTCATAATCCAGTTAATTTAATAAAAAGATAAATTAATAGAAAATTAAAAAGATTATTAAATACATTTACATATGATCAACATTTATTTCTGTGTGTGAGTGAATTGTAAAAAATTATGTAATCACTTTTATAGAAAATGTGACATGGACTATTTTAGAAAATTTATTTAACCAAAAACATGTGTTGCATTTATTTGTGTGAAAAAAAAAAAAAAAGAAAAAAAGTATGTTAGTTTTGTGCACAAATATAATTACTTTGTGAGATCTTGGGAGGCCTTAAAACTAAAGAGATGATGCCCTCTAGTGGTTTTACTTTACACTGTCATAGTTTATTATTCCACATGATGTACTGTAGTTTGAAATACACAAAATGACGGTTGCACTGTGTTACGTAGAGTTTCTGCAATAGGTTCCTCTCTTAGTCTGTTGTCTCTGCTGCTGACTCCAGTTCAGATAAAACGGATCTGAAAAACACAGACACACGAAGGACTTGTGAGCTCTAATCCACGTTAGAATGTTCAGATTCAGATTCAGAAAACTTGAATATTGTTACCTCATCAAAAACACACCTGGAGTTTTATTTTGTTTCATTCACACATATTTGTGTAATCCTTTATTATTGTCTGTCTACATCTCCAAAGCTCAAAATGCTCTGTTACACCTTGTGATGTCATTTGGTGGTAGTTCAAGTTAACAGCTACATTTTACTTTTTGTTTAGTAGAGTTTGGCAATTCCTGATCTGAAATTATCCAGATTATTCTAGTGAAGGTGTATGGAGATTAAAAACACAGTGGAGCACTTCCTGTATTACCACATGACGTCACAAGGTGTAAGTATACAGAGTTTGAGTCTTAAACATGTTAGAATAAAACAAAATACAACTCCAGGTCTGTTTGTGATGAGGAACAAACAACATTATAACACAGATGAGAAAATAGCTTAATATAGATGCTTTAAATAAACTTCTGTATTTCGCCTTGTATACTATAACATGATTTAAACCCGTCTTTACCTCTGCTCTTCACTGAGGTTGAGTTCTTTCTGTGCCCTCTCTGACAGACTGTGCGTACAGGGCAAACAGAAGGAAGCGGAGGTCTGAACCAGCTCCACGGCTCTGTCACATGAGCCGGAGACTATGCACCAAGACAGGAACTCCTCCATCAGCTCCACTCTGAAGAAGACGACGACATATGAACAGCAATGCAACGCTGTGATCAGGACAAACCAACTCATTTAAAAAGGGGACACGTGTAAAACTGACTACCACCTATCTCCGCCCACCGCTCTGCACGTACTTGTGATTACTTGCTGATCGATTCTGCACTTTTGAATAGAAAATCATTCAACAATCTCCAAGTAATTAGAGCTATTTGTGTTTTTAATGTTTTAAACTAACATAAAACTACTAATTAACATAAAAAATAATTTAGTTTAATAAAAAATATGTAGTTTTGGCCAATTTCTGAGGATCTATTTCTGTTTTTTTCATTCCCCCTTGTGGACAAAAGAATAAATGATGAAAGGCCTTGTTGCTTTCAGACGTCTCCCCGCATTTTGACCCTTTCTGTTTGGTAGACTTTTTAAAAATTCTGCTACGAAATATCTTTGGAGGGAGACATGGTAAATCACAGAATAAGCACAAAACAGACTTACGTTGGGACTCTGTTCTTTTCCTTGAACCGTTGAAGCATCTCCCTGTAACAAGAAAACTGTAAGTCCCATGTACGATTAAGCGAAGTACAAACAAAACTTACAATATTTAATTGTACATGTAGCAGTAAAGGTGCACTTTTCTACTTTTCTCCTGAAGGGTCCATTACCTGCTTGTCTCCATGGAGGTGCTTTTCCTGAAATGTTCCATAGTATGACATTTAACTTATCTAAGTGGAGGCAAGCAAGTGACACCACTTGACCACGCTTTTATTTCATCACGCCTGGACTACTGCAATGCACTTTATTCCAGCATTTCACAAAACGCACTTTACGGACTACAGTTAGTCCAAAACTCTGCAGCACAACTTTTAACAGGAACCAAAAGGAGAGAGCACATAACCCCAATCCTTGCGTCTTTGCACTGGCTTCATGTTCATTTTAGTACTGATTTTAAGATTTTGTTGTTTGTTTTTAAAGTTTTGAATGAACTGGCCCCACAGTACATCTCAGATCTCATCCAAATTCATACCCGCGCGAGCTCTGAGGTCTGAGGTCCAGCTCCAGCTCTTGGTGCCTGTTGAGACTTAAAACCAGAAGGACAGGACCTTCTCTGTGGTCGGCCCTGAGCTCTGCAACGCTCTGCAACACTCTGCAACGCTCTGCAACGCTCTGCAACGCTCTGCAACGCTCTGCCCCTCCACGTTCGAACAGCCCCCACAGTGGAGAGTTTTAAGTCTCGTCTTAAGACCCACTTTTATTCTCTGGCTTTTAACACTGCGTGAGTTGTGTGCTCCTCTGTGTCTTTTATTTATTTTTTTTATGTATTTTTATTGGTTTTATTTATTTATTGCTATTCTATGGTTTTGCTCTTATTTTATTTGAGTGGTTTTATCATTTTAAGACTAGTATGATTATTTTAGTAGTTTATTTAATTATTTTATTATTGTTGTTTTTATTATGTACTTGTGCAGCACTTTGGAAACTGTTTGTTTGTGAAATGTGCTATAGAAATAAAGTGGATTGGATTGGACTTGAGCAATTTATAGATCAGATCTGTGGAGATGCATTGCAGTAAGAATGAATTTTTTAGCAAAAAACAAAAAGAAACTGCAATTAAATAGGTGTAAGAGAAATGCTAATGCCATAGTATGGGACTATCCTGGTAAAGCAATAAAATTGGCATGGAGACAAGCAAGAGGCAGACCCTCTACCAGAAGGTTACACAGTGCACCTTTAAAGGGCCCATATTACGCTGTCGTCTGATCTATGTTAGAATGTAGTTTCCTCATCACACACAGACCTGGAGTTGTGGTTTTTTTCATTCACACACACAAATCCTACAAATTTAGAGACCCTCAAACAGAAAACAAAAACCTTGTGATGTCATGTGGTAATACAGGAAGTGCTCCATTGTATTGAGGAATGTGTGAATGAAACAAAACACAACTCCAGGTATGTTTTGAGGAGGTAACAACATTATAACATGGATTGCAGTTCACAAGAGTCAATTTTGTGTAATATAGGACCTTTAAAGGTACACTGTGTAACTGTCATGTGTTTTTCTCCATGGAGATGTTACTGCTTTGTCTGGAATGTTTCACATTATGGTATTAAACCTTTTTATCTTCATGGAGACCAAACCAGACCAGGTTACAGGTCAGATCTGTGGAGAGGTGACCCCTCTCACAGTCAGAATGCCTGTTTTCTAGGTACTTTTGAGCTATGAAATCATCTGTAACTGAATACATGTCAAGTAGAGCTGTTTAATGTCATACTGTAGAACATTCCACGCATAGCAATGACATGTTAACCTTTAACTTATGGACTCTTTAGTTAAACACACAGTGAGTTTTTATTTAGTACCAGGCCTGTGTAGATGTGTGGTCAGCTCTGAGCAGGAGAGCGGTGATGTGGTTCAGAGACGCAGAGCTCCAGTCCAGGCTCCGCCCCCTGTCCCCCTCAAATACAGAACGGACCTCCAGAGCACACTGAGAAAACTGCTGCTGTACCTGTAACACAGAGAGAGAGATACTGAAGGGTTTTAGGCAGGGTCCAGGAACTGTACACAGGAGTTTCATACAGAGGTAGAATGTGGGTAATGTGTTAATGTTTGTTTCGTCATCACAAACAGACCTGGAGTTGCGCTTTGTTTCATTCATACATGTTTAACACACAAACTCTGCATACTTATACTGAATTCTTCTCTCAAACTGAAAACACGCTGTTCCACCTTTATGCTATCATGTGGTAATACAGAAACTGCTTCACTGTGTTTTTAAACTCCATACACCTTCACTATAATCATTTTGGATTTGGATCATTTCAGTCCTGGAAATGCCAAGTTCTACAGAACTAAAGGTAAAAGGACATTCATGACATCACATGGTGGAACAGAGCATTTTGAGCTTTGGAGATGATGACAGACTAATAATAAAGGATTACTCAAACATATATGAATGAAACAAAAGACAACTCCAGGACTGTTGTATTATAATATGAATTAAAGCTCACAAGAGTCCATTTTGCGTCATATAGGACGTTTAACAGGAAAGCCAAAAACTATTTAGAATGCTTTCAGACTTGCACATTCACCACATCACTAAACCAGGACTAACCCTGAAACTAAACCTGAACTAGGACCTGAATCAGGACTGAATAGGGACTAGATTGGGACCAAACCAAGTCCACATCAAGATTAAATAAGATTAAATTATATAAAGTCTAAACACATTTGTGCTTTTTAGATACTTATATCCCAATAACTGTAGAATACAATGTCTGCTGAAAATCTAAAAACAGTTGAAGATGAAAAGCACTGACCTCTGGAGAGTGTTTCTCTCTGGACATGAGGCTGAGCAGCTCCTCCACCAGGTCCAGTTTGTTATCATGACCCAGAGAGTGGATATCTGACAAGCAGAACAGGAGGCTTATTTTTACATCGAAAAATGAAAAGCTCTAAACCTGTAACATTTCTGTATTGTGTTGTGTAGGTGGGAAGGCTGGGCAATTTACTGAATAATTTATGAAAACTAGGATTATAATAAACAAATTTACTCTTGATTTTCTTATTGTGCAATCAAGCAGTTGGCGTTGCGGGCAGTTTACATTCATTCTTATAATTTCCTATTATTTAAGAAATTGTAAAGCGCTTCCTTGTTTGAAAGATAAAATTTTTTCCATATCACCCAGCCCTAAGTGGGAGACATTTCAAAAATGTATTATATAGCAACATTTGTTGTGGAGATATGCAAAATTTAAATATCAAATAAATCATTTATAATTAAACTGACCTTTCCAGATGGTGGGCAGCAGGTCCAGTCGATTGTCTGTGTCCAGAGCCTGAAGCAGGTCCTTCAGGCCCTGAGGGTTTGGGTAATACAACTGCAGCACAAGAATAGGAAATATGAAAAAAGATGACACATGGCATCAGAACGTTCTATAGGCCATTATTATTTTATACAGATGGGGTCAGGTAAAATGAATATTGTTCCACTGCAGATTCTTGTTGTAATACAGCATGGTCTTGTGTCTAGTCAATAATAGAAATGATCAGATTCCTTCTTTGGAAATTTACCTTTCCAACATTTCATTGTAAATACAATGTAAATAATAGAGATAACTTTTTTGCCTCATCTGGAAGTACGACATTCTCACATTCTAGAATCTGAAAACCACCAAAATCTTCAAAAAGCGGTGCATTTACACAACCCCAAAGACGTGAATGTTTCAGCTGAAAGGACTTTGAGCCATGAGATTAATATGGCAAGTTTGTGGAGCCGATCCCAAACAAATACTGAAAAGGTTCAATATAGAGTCCCATAGAGTTACATAGACCCTGCCCTCCATCTGAAATGATGAGATCAAATCCTGATCTAAAATCAGAACACTCTCTTTAAGTTGCATGTTCATTCACTAGATCAAATTGAGTGACACCTGATATCACATGTACAGATTACATACATAGAAAACAAACTTTACAAGGAAAATATTCTAGTGACATTTTAATAATTTTAAGTACAGATGAGTACAATAAAATCATAATTTCTATCTAAAAATTCCATATTAAATTCACTGACCGATGGAATGAGTTTCTTGTACCATTTCAGAACCACATCCAGGTTCTCCATCAGACACAACAGGTTAAAGAAACGGCCGCTGAAATTCAAAATAAATACATCCAATTAATATAAACATTTATTATAATCCACAAGACTTACAATCATTACTTAAAACTCACTAGTAAATGCTTTGTTGATATGGATCTCCAAGAAGCCTCCAGTTTTCCCCAAATTCAACCAAAGAGTGAACTTTATACCCCAACTCCAGATCTTTATTTTCCAAACACTGTAATGAAACAACTTTAGATTAAAAATGATTTTTAAAAGTGTGAAAATAAATACTAAAAAATATATAACTCACAATTCTCATGGCACTGCTGAAGAAAAGGACTGTAAAACAAAACAGAAATTTACAAACAAATTCTTAAAGGGGGGGTATTTAACTTCTATGGGGTATTAACTGCTAACACATATTTAGATCATGATGTTACCTTTTATTGTTTTGAAAATGCTATATTTTACGAAAACAATGTAGTAACTTGTTTTGTTAGATCCATTTCGTCTCCTCTCCCTTTGCTCCCCACTAATGAAACTACTGCACATCACATCAGGTCTGTCAAGTTGTAGAGAACGGTTTTGTACCATGTTTTTGTAGTGATGGGCAAATGAGTCGGAGCTCCGGAGCACGTCTCGTTCTTTCTGAAACAAATTGCTCCGAAGCACTGCCTCGGAGCTCATCTCGCAGCAGCCGCTCACGTGACCAAAGTGTGGAAGTGTGGGGTCCCTCCCCCGACTGCTTCACTCTGCGTGTCAATCGCTTCAGTGTATCGAAGCGTTTCATTGGCTCAGTGAATGTTCCGCTCTGTGATTGGTTCAGAGTGCTTCAGAGTGTTCAGCGCACTTCCGTGGTTTGACAAGCTCTAAACTGCTACAGTATAAAAGATGCACCAATATTTCTTAAAAATGTTGGATAGTGAGGAGTATTGTGTGACGTTAGTGGTGATTTTGGCGATTTTTGGCATTTGTTTCATTTTTGATGGCATCTACAAGTGGAAAAAAGCGATCCATGGTTTGGGATCACTTTGATCTAATTCCACTTAACAAGGTCACCTATTTTCTAATTTACAGCATGTTATTTATGTTGCTCTTTACATATTATTTTAAATCATCATTATTATTGTTGTTGTTAGGTACGGTGTCGCTCTGCACACAAGTATTGTCTTACACTAACAATACTTCATCGATGCTGAGAAACCTGCGTGCTAATGGTTAAATTTGTCCACTAGAGGTCAGTGTTTCTCCAAGACCTCAGACACATCGAACTATTTGAGACAATATTGCGACTGAAGTGTCAATGCTTCACGAGGCTCCATTCACCCATCACTATGTTTTTGTATATTTATGAAGAACTGTCATGTGGGAGCATCGGTGACAAAGGCTTGTGGACGGAGTCTTGGACAGAATCTTTCAGCTAACCATAAGGAGAGATCACAAAATTACTCAAAAATGCATGAATGACATCTAAAACCTTATTCAGGCAGGAGTTTGATGAACAAGTTTTAGAGGTCATTATAACATGGGAGAAAGCTTTGAATTTTGTACCGTCATCTGGGTCCTGGCAGGTGAAGCTGGTTTCTTTAATCACCGATAGCACCTCATATAAAACATCAGTGTTGTTTGGGCCCGAAGCACCTGGAGAATAGTGAATGTGTTTAATTAACATGAGGTAGATTCATATTTGTGCGCTGAGTATTTTATTTGATTTACCTGCTCTGAAGAAAGCAGCCAGGATGTGGTCATAGGTGGCAAGACTGGGAGCTAAAAGTAGAAAACAAAGATATGTTATTTATTATTAAAAGAATTTGGAAACTAGAACAAAAGTATTCATATTTTAATTTGTTTGATAACTCGCTAATAAAGTAAAACAATGATTTGTAAATTATGCTGTCTATCTTTTTTTTAGCTGAAAAGTTTTACAGTGTTCTTGTGATCATTTTTGATAAGTATCAAAGCCAGTATTAAGGTTAATCAAAGTACCATATTTTCCGGGCTATTAGGTGCTCTGGATTATAAGGCGCACTGTCATTAAATGGTCTATTTTCAAACTTTTTTCACAAATAAACCACAAAGGACTATAAAGGAAACACAACAGTTGGATCGCTCAGTCGAACTTTGTTTGGTGCGTTCACGGTGACTCTGGGCTTTGTTCAGTTGTGGCGTGTAGGGAGGGTGCTGTCTGGGACCACTGGATTGTCGGCATGTTCGCAGTGACTCAGTTGTTCAGTTGCGTCTAGAAGTGGCACATTGCACTCGCTTTTTCGGTTTGTTCCTCCGTTCCATTCCTCGTCGGCGTGGAGTGATGAGTGTGTCTGTGGGTGTTTTTCGCCGCGTGGTCGCTGTCTGCTCCGTGTGTGTTTGCGTGTTCTGCAGATGGTGTGGCTTTGTAGTTTACTGAAGTCGTGCTGGGACACCTAATGGATTCGTGTATAGGGCGCTCTGGATTGTGGGGTGTGCAGTGTTTTTTTGATGGGGTTGGAGGTTTAAGAGCACACCTTATATCCCGAGAAATACAGTATTTGTGGTTAAATCATTACTTTTGAGTTGGTTGTTTTTGGAACCATTTTAGTTTTTACTTTTTGACTTAACTCATATAAAATTTAAATTGCAAACATTCAAAAAATTATATAAAACATAAAAGCACTGAATTGCAATCTCATAAAAACAGAATACTGTCACAGGATGTTCACATTAGAAATGTTATTATCATATTTCCAACTGTCTAACTGACCCTTTATTATGAGTACAGGGACACCTAAAGGAGACGTCAGATTAAATCTTTGTAAGTACAAAAAAGGTACAAGCAACATATACTGAGCCTGAAAACGATGGTTCTTTCTAACATATATTGAACAGTAAGCTTTTACATACTGACCGATGCCGAGGGCCTTCATCTCACTGAGCGTGTGCAGGGAGTGACTCTTGGCCAGAAATCCACAGCGTCTTAGAGACTTGAGCACAGAGTTAAACGTGTGGAGAGACGGAGAGATCTGCTGCTGCTTCATCTGATTCAACAGCTCCTAAAGATCACAGGAAATGGCACAGTGAGGGACAACCACAAAAGTGAACTGTTTAGGAACAGTATGGCTCTTCTCACATAGCTACATACTACAAAAAAAAAAATAAAAAATCAGCTACTTCCTGCTTTCGTTTATTAGCTTTTTTTTTTTTAAAGATCAATACGATTTCTACTTAATAACAAAAATTAGGCAAGACAAATGGTCCCTGCTCTGACTTCATAATCATAATAATTTTTTGGACGTATCGCTCAGAACTACCAAACATTATATATTTTTTTTTAAAATAACCTACACATTTTTAAACAAAGCTGTTCTAGAGCTACTTGATGAATAAATAACAGTTACAATAAACAATTTTGTTATACGTTTGTGTGTTAAAGGTAGGGATGGGCATTCGATGAAATGTTCTTAATCAATCATCGGAAGAATTTACGATCAATTATCGATTAATCATTAAGGTTTTTATATTAAAATGATCATCATTATTATTACTAGCTGCACTACTAATCTGCATAAATAAATTCAACTTTACAACATATAAACCGTAACCACTCCAGAGCCACATTAGCCCGTTTGACATTAGAATGTGTTTAATGCAGCTTTGTGCAAGTCTCACAGAAACAAAACTAAAAACCGCATGGCTAATTTGCATAAACTAAGATAAGAAAAAACTACAGCTCTTGTGTTGCTGATGCGGTCAACTTCTGTCAGATTAAAAGACATGACTCAGTGGAATACAGGTTAGTGTGACCATATTTGCGTTTGTCAAAACCAGGACACCGTACGGGGGGAGGGAGGTGGGGACTCGTCAACGACATTGAGCGACTCTCACCTGGCAACGCTTTTTCCCACTGGACACTGAAACATATGTGCTGCTTTGTTCACTGTGCACATGGCCTCACACTTGTCCCGAACGCAACGGAAAGCGTGGGATTTCTTGTACAAGTCATCGTTAAATACACATTTGCACTTCGGTACGTTACAGACTGACCAAGTGTTTGTGTCTCGCTCCTTCTGAGTGCAGAGACACACATGTACAGACCTGTTTGGTCACACTATGCACAGCAACCTACATTCAGTTTGTCGATTAAAATGAACGTAATCGATGAAATTCTTAATGATCAATTATCAATTAATCGACTAATCATGCCCATCCCTAGTTAAAAGGTATAACAATTTTCAGTCATTTTCAGTCTGTGCTTTAGTTGATATTGAGTACTGACAGATAGTGAAGTCCAAGTATAGATATTGTCATCAAAACTGAAAAAGCTTTCTAAATCTCTCAATATTAGCAGATAATCTTACAACAATGAGGTCCCATCTGTCGTTGTATTTCTCTCTGACTTCTGTAGCAGCTGAGATCAGCGCATTGAAGATGTGAACATCACCTGGAGTAGATACATGTGCAAAAGGACCAAGCAATAAAAATGTGGAAAAAAATAGTCTATTAAATATTTAAACAGAGACCTGGACGACTGAGGGATTACACAAACATTTTAGCAGTACAAACCTATAAAAAGCTCAGCCCACCTAAAACCTAAACAATAAAATGTAACATGGTAATCTAAAATTTATGCAATGTTACATTAATCTATGTTATGTGTTAGCAAGTGTAATACCCCCTCTTTAAATTCAAAGCTGATATTTGCAATACTACAAATTAACTGCATTTTTAGGTTTGTACTGACCTGTGACCCTGTTGTTGAGCATGTCTGTGTAAAAGTCAAAGGCTCTGGCGTATGCTCCATGCTGTAGAGAAACAGAAAAGATATTAAGGCTTAACTATTTGAGGAAAAAATACTGCGATTTCTGACAAGCATTTATGTTTTATGAATAGGATTCTGTTCAAAGGTCACATTTTAAAACACGTCCAGGAGAATTGACAAAGGCTACGTTAAGACTGCAGACTGCAAAGGCTACGCTAAATTCAGATTTTTTTGTCAAATCCGAAGTTTTTGCGAGATCGTTCACATTTCCAATTAAATGCGACTTGTATGTGATCTTCAGTGTAAACATTAAACGTCCCAAAAGTGTCCCCCATGCGCAATGTGGGACATGATGACATCAACCACAGCGAGCGTGCTCTGTGTATATGGAAGTTGTCCAAACATGGACGCGAGCATTGAGCACCTGGAGATTTTAAAGTTCCTCTTGTACCGGAGCCAGAACATGAACAACTTACTTGTTTTAAGGAGGAGATTGAGAAGAAGGACCAGGTTTTTGGCCGTGGCGTTTTGTGGGGCAATTCGTTGAAAGGAACATGTGGATGTGGAGACGTAGTCAAGAGTGGTGAGTGGTGATGTGCTTCACTTCAGTGACAAGGAGTTCATTAACAATTTTCGCCTACTTCAGCGCAGAATAGTGACGTTTGTGGCTTGTTGATAACATGTAGGTGGATGAATGCGCTTTGGCCGTTCAGACTGAAGTCACATGTCAAAAGATCAGATATGTATCGGTTTCAGAAGCACATATCCAAGTGTCCTGGGTCGCATTTGAAAAAATCGGATCTGTGTCGTTCAGACTGTCATTAAAAGATCAGATACAGGTCACATAGGGGCCACAAAATCGGATTTGGATCACTTCAGGCTGCAGTCTGAACGTAGCCAAAAAGACTGAAATCTGAACTGAGAAACTAATACAAGAATCCCATTTCAGAACAGGTTTGTGCAGATCTAAACTACAGGGTTAGCAGTTTTTATGTGGAGTAAGAGGAGGTTTTGTTGTTTGTGGAAATTACAGTACTTCAAAAATGTCATTCCCGTGCAATTTCCTAAATAGATTGCAAGCAAACTTAGCCATAAAAGCTATTATTATAACTCATACAGAGATTAATATAATCAGTATTGTTCAATGAGGGATTGTGTAACTTTACATTAAATAGAGCAATATGGGATTGTTCTATTCTGATCTATGTTATAATGTTGTTTTCTCATTAAAAACATACCTGGGGTTGTGTTTTGTTTCATTCACACATGCGAATTCCACCTTGTGATGTCATGTGGTAATACAGGAATTGCTCCACTGTGTTTTTAAACTCCACGCACCTTCACTAGAATCATTTCACTAATTTCAGCCCTGGATTTGCCAGTCTCTATCGAGCAAAAGGTAAACGGTAGCTGTTGTCATGTAGTCATAGTTTTCAAGTTATCACAAGGTGGAACAGAACATTTCGAGGTTTAGACATGTAGACAAATATATAATAATATAAAAATATGATAATAAAAGATTACTCAGACATGTGTGAATGCAACAAAACACAACTTATGGTATGTTTCTGATGAGGTAACAGCATTACAAAACTCACAAGAGTCAGTTTTGTGTAACATAGCACCTTAAATAGTGTGCAAATGCCCCTCACCTTGACCATGCCTCTGATCAGAGCAGAGTAGCAGCGCGTGTCTCTTTCTGGGAGTAAGTTGAAGATTCGTTCTGCATTATTGTTTTCTTTCCAGGTGGATTTCAGGAGCTCTGATGCTTTTCTAAACCTGCCCTTACGTCTCCTGGGCTCCTCTCCTCCCTCCTCCTGTGAATAGAAACAGCTTCTAAGAATTTAAATACAGTACATCTATACTTAAAGGTGCTTTGTGTAACTTTCTGGTAAAGGGTCAGTCAAATGCTTTTCTCTGTGGTTAATGTCATACTGTGGAACATTCCAGTCAGAGCAATGACATATCCATAGAAACAAGAAGGTAACTGACCCCACCCGAAAAGTTACATAGGTTTAGGCTTAAAGATGCACTATTTTGAAGTAATTTTTGGGGCCAAATTGAGTTTTCTGTCTAATTCTACTCTCCAGATCCTGATGCATCTGTAGGGGAATAAGAATGATTTTTACAGCCAAAAAACACAAACTATCAATTTTTTTCCCCTGAAAACCTTGAAAAACAGCAAATGAAATCAACTAAAAAATGTACAATGCATGCCATATTTGGTAGGAAAAAGAAATTCTTATATTATATAAGAGGGTCCAGGTCTAAAATGACAAATATTAAATATTAATTTTATTATTATACAAATATGAGACTCCATACAAAGTATACACTGGCTATACATCTACATCCTTCACTCACGGTGCCCTCTCTGTCGGGCGTGCCCTCGACGACCGGATCTCGATCGCAGTAAAAACTGATCAGGTCCAAAAGGTCATGAGTCGTTTCGATGGAGACTGTTTGACCTAATGAGAAATCACAAAATAATGTTACTCTCTGAAAATGTCAATAATAGGTCAGGGAAATACAAAATAATAATGTCATTTTTTATAGTTTTCTGTGTTAGATTTAGCCTTTCATTTTAAAGGTGCACTGCGTAACTTTGCTGGTGGAGGGCCTGACAGTTGCTGGCCTTCATGGAATGGTATTATTTGCCTGGAATGTTCCACAATATGGCATTAAGCTTATCTATCTCCATGGAGATAAACATGTGATGCCAGCAAGCCAAGCTGAGGAGGTTTTTCAAGTTTTTCAAGTATTTTGGATAAATAAAATAACGTTGTAGGAGCCATTCTTTTGTTTAGGCTGGGGTTAATTTGGGTCACTGTTTATGTCTGGGCACAGGGTGACCTATATTCGGCTTGGTCACAAGGGGGCAGGGTGGAGTCAAGCCCTATATAGATGCACAGGGGCCAGTGTACTGGGCGCCAATCTGGTAGTGTGTTAGGCCTGGATCCCCTGCACCCAGAAACCACAAAAGGTTAGGACTAAATTTGTCGCTACGAACCTGTAACGACTAAATGCAAAATGAATAAGTTAAATGTCATAATATGGAACAATCCAAAGCAAAAGAATTAGACTTAGACAAGCTTTATTGATCCACAAGAGAAGCAAAAGTAGACCACACATCACAATATATTATAATAACAAAGAGATAAAAATATATAAACGGAAAAGTAATAATTCATTCTAAATAAGTAGTAAAAAAAGAGAGCAAGAGACTGGTGTCAAATAAGGCATAATTACAAAAATGTATATGGACAAGTCAAGCAGTAGTCAAGTAAAATAGAAAATTTAGTAAAAAAAAAATCTCAGCTATATACAAAACAATGCAATTTCTGTGAAGGCAAGCAGGTAGCGGACCCTCCACCTGAAAGTTACACAGTGCACCTTTAAATAATACTTCACTATGTACATTTTAAACATTTAAACTCTACACATTCCCCATGCTTTTCAGAACATGTTTGAAGCTGATTATAATTATTTAGCATCTTATTATTGATTTTATTGTATATTATTATCATATTTCCTCACCACACTGAAGTAGCTGGTCGTACATATCCACGGCTGCAGACACTCTCCTCAGACTGAGCCTCTCCTTCAGAGCAGCTTCACTCACCTCCTCCAGACTCGGAGACACACACTCTGGCATCAGACACTGGATAAAACAATATAAAATAGTGTGACTAAAGCTAAATTAAGATGTGGTGGTACTCAGAAGGAAACTTAGATGGTACTTGTTGTGAAATGTTTGAGAACTGCAGAACTAGAAGATAAAATTAACCATTGAAAACTGAAAAAAATTAACCTTTCTTGAACAATTTTGATCCATTACAGATCCACTGACTGTAGAGAAATAAATCTTGCCAGTCACTAAATCATCATAATCACCAAACGGTGTAGTTATATAGTTATATATAAGGGTATAGTTGCTTAAAAATAAATTCAGTAAAGTCAAAATGCGTGCGACTCTTACTGGTATATGTGGTTCTGCAAAGTCTTTGGTGAAAAACTTTGGATTTGTGTTCATGAAATATTTGGCAGCAGCTCGACCAGACTCCTGAGAGAGCGAGAACAGGGTCTGAGGAGAGAAAAAAAAAAGGAAAATCAAACGTCTGGAAGAAAGTAAAAAACAGAAAAAAAAGAGAAATTGTTTAGAACGCACAAATTCAGATGATGTTCTTGGAGAAAGGTAGGGGTCATCCTGGAATTGATACGGATATGCAGTGGGGTCCTGATCGAAACACAGGGAAACAAAAATAAAAAGATGTATTACTTATGAGAGAAAATTGTCTTAATTTTGCTGCTTGTTTCTATGAATATGCCACTGATCTGTCTGGAATGTTCCACAGTGTGACATTAAACAGCTCTATCTTACACTTATTCAATTACAGGTGGTTTTATAGCTCAAAAATACATAGAAAAACAGGCATTCATCTGACAGAAAAACAGGCACATTCTGACTGTGAGCGGGGTCACCTCTCCACAGATCTGACCTGTAACTTGGTCTGGTTTGGTCTCCATGAAGATAAAAAGCTTAGGTTTAAAGCCATACTGTGACACAGTCCAGACAAAGCAATAACAGAATGCAGCCTCCACCAGAAAAGTTACACAATGCATCTTCAGAGACAGAGATAGAAAGACAGACAGATAGAAAAAGCCAGATAGACAGATATAGATAGACAGAAAAAGACAGACAGATAGATAGATAGATAGATAGATAGATGGATAGATAGATAGAAAAAGACAGATAGATAGAAAAAACAGATAGATAGATAGTAGGGCTGGGCAAAAATTTAAAAATGTAATTGCGATTAATCGCATGTTATACGCAAAACCAATGAATGAATTAAAAAGTAGAGTATAGTGCACTTTTATTGGTAATGTAAATGAAAGAGTCAAACATTTGTTGTGCAAACAGCATTTCTTTCACGGGGAACCCACAGAGCCTTCAAGGTCTTCTTTGAAGGCTCAAGAAAAAATATTGAATGTACGTTTGTACTACTAATATATTTATTGAATATTTTTTTATGCTGTGAGTAATAAACACTACACTAGTAATAATTTCTAGATCATCAAACTTGGACTGATATTTCTTGGGAAACAAAGGGTTAATATAATGGAATGGAAATGGACCAATCACATTTTTTCTTCCAGTGGTATCAGGGTAAATCAGTTACTCCAGCACTGAACTAAAGAAACAAGCTCAGCTCAGAGCGCACGGCTGGTCCGGCCGGAGCCGGGCCCGCGGCTCGTGGAGGCTTGGGACAGGTTGCATCTCACATGGTCAGAAAAAAGTGAAAAAAGTGTAAAGAAAAGACGTCAAACTTAAAGAAACGCTCGCGGTGGACTTTTTCAAAATAAAAGCCAGTGAGAAACAAACGCTTACAATAAAATAAATAAATAAATAATAAAAACTGCGTTAACGGCGTTAAAATAATTGTCGGCGTTAATGACTTAATTAGTTAACGCAAAGTTAACGAGTTAACGTGCCCGGCCCTAATAGATAGATATAGATATAGATAGATAGATAGAGAAGACCAAATAAACTTACACTTTTGACAGTTGCAGCAAGAGCCTCTAAAACTGCCACTTTACTCCTGTTGAATTTTAAATATATTTGATAAAAGATTTAATAATGCCTGAAATAATATTGCAGATACGTTTTAAAATACTATTGGGCCAAGATACTTACCATGTTTTCTTTTTGGGGATGACAATATTTTCTGAAGATTCTTTAAGCACAAGAAAATAAGTGAATTAATTTATAACATGGAAAAAATAAATCAAATTCAAACTTAAATAAAATGAAATAATAATAATGATACTGACCTGTATTTGCCTCAGCTGCTTGTTGACGGAGGATGGGGCTCCAGTGAAAGCTCCTGACAACAAAAGTGACAAAGATAATGAATTAATGGACACAATTTAGACAGAAAAACAATTATGTTAAATTAGGAACAAGTAATGCATTTTGAAAAAGACATAAGACATTAAAAAATAATATTTCAATGTGTGTAGGTTGTTTTGTATGTTATTCAATTCTATGCACATTCCCATTATCTGTATTTGATATTAAAGATGCATTGTGTAACTTTTCTGGTCAAGGGTCTGCTTTCTGGAGATGTTATTGCTTTGCCTGGAATCTTTCACAGTATAGTATTAAACCTTTCTATCTTCATGAAGAACAGACCAGACCAAGTTACAGGTCAGCTCTGTGAAGAGGCAACCCTGCTCATCAGGGCTGGGTATCATTAACAAGTTGCTGATACGACACATATCTCAATATAGTGCTGCACTTTCGATTCGATACGGTATGTTTCAAATCAATATGATACATTTCAATAAAAAAATAAAGGCTAAATGATTGCTGTGATACTAAAAGTCTTTGTTAAATCACTTCTTATGCAAAGTAAATATGAAACACAAACATTTCAATCCGCAAAAAGGTGAATAAAAGTGTAAAATGTGTGACATAAACGAGTTTCCTTCCTCTGAACAAGCAAGAAAACTGTAGCGCTGTAACAAAATAATTCTGTAAAATATATCAAAAAATACAGCAGCCCAGTACAGTATATCGATACTGTACTATGTAGCGCTGTCACACTGTGGAACATTCCAGACACAGCAATGACATTTTCTTTTTTTTACATTTACAGAATAATAACATTCATTCAATCGTGTATTTGTTTGTTTGAGGTACAATATTCAAAAACAATAACAAAACTAGTGAAATGTACATGAACATATTTGGGACTTGGTGCTCAACATCTCCATAAAAACAAGCAAGTGAAAAAGTTACACAGTACATCTTTAACATTCAAGCACTAACAACTTATTACGGATCTGTAAGCATAACATCCTAAAAATATAGTTATCCCCACTTGAGGGCATATATATATATATCTTTTTTTTTTTTTAATAGAATAATATATCCCCATAAAGCATCTTTTTGCTTCAGAAATTCCAGACCGCAGCGTGACCTCCTCGTCCTGTCAAAGGATGCGCGCTTTAGTTTCACTCAAAATGTCGCTATATTTTAGTTCAACAACTATAACATGTAATAACGCGCGATTAAAACAGTGCATTTAAGCTTCCTCACCTGCGAAACCATAATTTATCGATGTTATTTAGGAGAAATTGTCCGTTTTTGTGTAAGTAATGCCCTACGAGCCTACCAGGCGCCGCCATGTTGTTACGAAGTGATGCATCATGGGGGAAAATACCAAGAAGACAGAATACGGAAATCAACACGCAAAGTTTTATTTTTATATAGTTTAATATGCGCAATAAACTCACCGTTTTATTTTAAAGCTTTTAAGAATATTAAGACGGTTTTCTATTGTTTTATATTCACATTTGAGTGTAAAACTAATTATATTTAAATACATGTTCTCTCCCTCTATGTTTGGCTTCAGTGGTACAGCCCCACGTGTGTCACAGAAGGAGCAGCAGGAGACGCGTGGGGTTTAGCTAAAGTTATGAATTCGTGAAAATAAAGTCGTTTAAACTGCATATTTTTTCATGATGTTGTTCGGAAAGGAGATACCATGGCGGCGACTGGAGGGCATGTCATTTGGGATGTTTTCTGCGGAAGAAATTAGGTGAGAATTTGCAAAAAAGCGTCAAAACATCACGAGTGCTGCGGTTAGCTTCATGTACAACTAGTTTATAAACATTAAACATTAGAATTTATGAAAATAATAGTATTAGTAATGATTTAAGAATTCCCTTTAAATGCAAAGTTATCAGATAAAGTACGGAATTCTGAGTTATTCGATATTTTGAGAATGTTCTTATAATATATTGGATGCAGATATATTGAGATATTTACTCTCTTAAAGGTGCACTATGTAACTTTATGGCTCACCTTGTTTCTATAGAGATGTCATTGCTCTGCCTCGAACATTCTACAGCATTCTTTCTGTGTGTGTGTGTTTTTTTAGGAAGCTGAGTGTGAAGCTGATCACAAACTCCAGATTTCTTGATAATGTGGGAAACGTGGCTCCAAACAGCCTGTACGACCTGGCTCTGGGTCCAGCTGACAACAAAGAGGTGCAGGAATTTTGAAATGAAATGTATTAGGGGCACCAACCATAGACTGTATAAAGAAGTGGACTGAGGGAGTGTGACGTTACCCATAGCATTTAGCTCCAGTCAAATGAAGCTCTTTTATAGGATGGAATTTTGAAAAGCCGAGTTCCATGTTAGGAATAGAACATTTATTTATGAACAAAATAGCAAAATAAAAACACCAGAATCATGTAGAGTGAGTTAATTCATACATTTTAAGCCCAAAATGAGAGGGCACACTGCAGCAGTTACAGAGAGAAAGGCAACTACTATTCCATTTCCATTCCATTTTCTTCCGCTTATCCGGGGCCGGGTCGCGGAGGCAGCAGTCTAAGCAGGGACTCCCAGACCTCCCTTTCCATGCACACTTCCTCCAGCTCTTCTGGGGGGACCCCAAGGCGTTCCCAGGCCAGCCGAGAAACATAGTCCCTCCAGCGTGTCCTGGGTCTTCCCCGGGGCCTCCTCCCAGTGGGACATGCCCAGAACACCTCCCGAGGGAGGCGTCCAGGAGGCATCCGGAAAAGATGCCCGAGCCACCTCAACTGGCTCCTCTCAACGTGAAGGAGCAGCGGCTCTACTCCGAGCTCCTCCCGTGTGACTGAGCTCCTCACCCTATCTCTAAGGGAGCGCCCAGCCACCCTGCGGAGGAAACTCATTTCGGCCGCTTGTATCCGCGATCTTGTCCTTTCGGTCATTACCCAGAGCTCATGACCATAGGTGAGGGTGGGAACGAAGACTGACCGGTAAATCGAGAGCTTTGCCTTTCGGCTCAGCTCCCTCTTCACCACAATGGTCCGATACAGCGACCGCATCACTGCTGAAGCTGCACCGATCCGCCTGTCAATCTCACGCTCCATCCTCCCCTCACTCGTGAACAAGACCCCGAGATACTTGAACTCCTCCACTTGAGGCAGGGCCTCTCCACCCACCCGGAGAGGGCAAGCCACCTTTTTCCGGTCGATGAAGCCAACAGGACAACATCATCTGCAAACAGCAGAGATGAAATCCTGTGGTCCCCGAACCGGACCCCCTCCGGCCCCTGACTGCGCCTAGAAATTCTGTCCATAAAAACAATGAACAGAACCGGTGACAAAGGGCAGCCCTGGCGGAGTCCAACATGCACTGGGAACAGGTCTGACTTACTGCCTGGCAATGCGAACACAGCTCCTGCTCCGGTCATACAGGGACCGGACAGCCCTTAGCAAAGGGCCCCGGACCCCATACTCCCAGAGCACCCCCCACAGGACACCACGAGGGACACGGTCGAATGCCTTCTCCAAGTCCACAAAGCACATGTGGACTGGTTGGGCAAACTCCCATGAACCCTCGAGCACCCGATGGAGAGTGTAGAGCTGGTCCAGTGTTCCGCGGCCAGGACGAAAACCACACTGCTCCTCCTGAATCCGAGGTTCGACTATCGGGCGGATTCTCCTCTCCAGTACCCTGGAATAGACCTTACCGGGGAGGCTGAGGAGTGTGATTCCCCTGTAATTGGAACACACCCTCCGGTCCCCCTTCTTATACAGAGGGACCACCACCCCGGTTTGCCAGTCCAGAGGTACTGTCCCCGACCGCCACGCGATGTTGAAGAGGCGTGTCAGCCAAGACAGCCCCACAACATCCAGAGACTTAAGATACTCAGGACGGATCTCGTCCACCCCCGGAGCCTTGCCACCAAGGAGCTTGCCAACCACCTCAGTGACTTCAGCCAGGGTGATGGACGAGTCCGCCTCTGGGTCCCCAGTCTCTGCTTCCTCCTCAGAAGACGTGACGGTGGGATTGAGGAGATCCTCAAAGTATTCTTTCCACCGTCCGACTACATCCCCAGTCGAGGTCAACAGCTCTCCCCCCGCACTGTAAACAGTGTTGGTGAAGAACTGCTTCCCCCTCCTGAGGCGCCGGACGGTTTGCCAGAATCTCTTTGAGGCCGTCCGATAGTCCTCCTCCATGGCCTCCCCGAACTCCTCCCAGCTCCGAGTTTTTGCCTCTGTGACCGCACGAGCTGCCGCACGCTTGGCCCGTCGGTACCCATCAGCTGCCTCAGGAGTCCCACGAGCCAACAAGACCCGATAGGACTCCTTCTTCAGCTTGACGGCATCCCTTACTTCCGGTGTCCACCACCGGGTTCGGGGATTGCCGCCGCGACAGGCACCACAGACCTTACGCCCACAGCTCCGAGCAGCCGCATTGACAATGGAGGTGGAGAACAGAGCCCACTCGGACTCCATATCTCCAACCTCCCCCGGGATCTGGGAGAAGCTCTCCCGGAGGTGTGAGTTGAAGATCCCTCTGATGGAGGGTTCCACCAGACGTTCCCAACAGACCCTCACGACACGACACGCTTGGGTCTGCCAGGTCTTTCCGGCTTCCTCCACCGCCAGCGGATCCAACTCACCACCAGGTGGTGATCGGTTGACAGCTCAGCCCCTCTCTTCACCCGAGTGTCCAAGACACGCGGCCGGAGGTCAGATGACACGACGACAAAGTCGATCATCGACCTCCGGCCTAGGGTGTCCTGGTGCCACGTGCACTTATGGACACCCTTGTGCTCGAACATGGTGTTTCGTTATGGACAAACTGTGACTAGCACAGAAGTCCAATAACAGAACACCACTCGGGTTCAGATCAGGGAGGCCGTTCCTCCCAATCACCCCTCTCCAGGTGTCACTGGCGTTGCCCACGTGGGCATTGAAGTCCCCCAGTAGAACAACGGAGTCCCCAGTTGGTGCACTGTCTAGTACCCCTCCCAGGGACTCCAAGAAGGCCGGGTACTCTGCACTGCTGTTCGGCCCGTAGGCCGACACCACAGTGAGAGACCTGTCCCCGACCCGAAGCCGCAGGGACACGACCCTCTCGTTCACTGGGGTGAACTCCAACACGTGGCGGCTGAGCTGTGGGGCTATAAGCAAGCCCACACCAGCCCGCCGCCGCTCCCCGCAGGCAACACCAGAAAAATGGAGGGTCCAACCCCTCTCGAGAGGTTGGGTACCAGAGCCCAAGCTGTGCGTGGAGGTGAGGCCGACTATATCTAGCCGGTACCTCTCAACCTCCCACACAAGCTCAGGCTCCTTCCCCCCCAGCGAGGTGACGTTCCACGTCCCTACAGCCAGGTTCTGTGTCCGTGGACTAGGTTGCCGGGATCCCTGACCCCGACCGCTGCCTAGTTCACAGCGCACCCGACCCCTATGAAACCCTCTGTGGGTGGTGAGCCCACAGGAGGGCGGGCCCACGTCGTCCCTTCGGGCTGAGCCCGGCCGGGCCCCGTGGGCAAAGGCCCGGCCACCAGGCGCTCGCTTTCGAGCCCCAACCCCAGGCCTGGCTCCAGGGTGGGGCCCCGGCTGCGCCATACCGGGCGACGTCACGGTCCTTGTTTTTATACTGTTCATAGGGGTCAACTACTAATTACTACTAATTACTAATATTAATACTGCAAATATTAAACTACTGCTTGCTAATAAGCTTACAATAACATTATAATCTGGCTGTGTATAATTTGTCTTCTTTGACTGTATTTTGTTTCTGTTTCCAGGTGTGCTCCACATGTTGTCAGGACTTTAACAATTGTCCTGGTCACTTTGGTCACGTGGAGTTGCCTCTGCCGGTCTACAACCCTCTATTCTTCGATGTAAGTATTTTCACCTTAGAATTACACATAAATACTTGGACTTGGCTTCATGGATTCACTAATAAAGGAGTTATAATTTGGACCTTTTAATAAGGCTTCAAGCAGGGCACAGTTTATACCAAAAATATTGTTAGGGTTAGGGTAACATACATATGTGTTTTACATTTTATTTATTTATTTATTAGTTCTTGATAACAATAGCGCTGCTTACATACTGTTAAAAGTTCACTCAGCAGGGAAATAGTTTTAACAAATGTTTTATTATTTGATTTCTTGTCTTTTCTCATACCAGTGGGTTTCAACTTCCTGTTATATAAACGTTTAAAACAGTTTGAATATTTTTTCCAATTCAAAAGATTTTAATTATTAATCACAATGGCAACAGTCAAAGTTTTTCAATGCTCTGGACCCATGGATAAATGTTGTCCTGTAGACTAGTGTCTTTCTTACATTTGAACACACAGTTTTGTGTTTTTGTCTTTCAGAAACTGTACTTCCTAATCCGAGGCTCATGTCTGAACTGCCACCTTTTGACCTGTCCTCGAGCTGAGATTCACCTCCTCATCCAACAGCTTCACCTGCTGGACCACGGGGCACTACAGGAGGTGTACCAGCTCGAACAAATCCTCACACAGGTACAGAGCTGGGCTTTTTTACCACTGTAATGTACTGTTGCCTAGGTTTAGGCTGTACCGGTTCTCCATTTAGAGTGCTCATCTCCTGATCCAAAGGTTGGCACTTTGAGCCCTCCTTCCATCAGTACAACATGCTGTTGTATCCTCAGGCAAGACCGTAGATTGTTAAAGTAAATGGACATAGCTAACTTGCTAGCTGCTCCGTTCCAAATAGAACGTGAGCATGGGCACGCTTCTGGCTTCATCGACTCTTGCCACAATAAAAAAAAAAAACCTGAGACAGAATATTTAAATGTGTGATTAAATATCTTCTGTTGTTGCTTTTATCACTTTGAAAATAATGTTTTTTTGTATCCGTTTTTAGGTTGTGGAGACAAATCCCAAAGCCACTGGAGACGATTTTGAACGAGCCTTAAAACAGTTCACAGATACAGTCATCCAAGAGACACTGGTCAACACCAAACCGGTCCGTGACATTATTTATTCAGAGAATATTAATTTAGATTAATTAATCAAAATGTGTTCATTATGCACAAAGTCATGTTCATGCTTTATTAAGGTATTAAACTTATTTAACCTTTTGGTTGAGGCGCTGTCACCTGCTTGTTTCTATGGGCATGTCATTTCTCTGTCTGTAATGTTTCACAGTATGACATTAAACAGCTCTACCTTACATCACTATGAGAGGTGGTTTTATGGCTCAAAAATATGACAAAAAACAGACCTTATGACTGTGGGTTGCCTCTCCACAGATCTGATACTGTGAAAGATTCCAGACAAAGCATTTGACGGACTCTCCACCAGAAAACTTAAACAGTGCACTTTTAAAATATTGATATTATAAAGCAGTGGTGGGCAATTATTTTTGCCATGGGAGCCACATGAGAAACAGAAAATATTGTGGAGGGACGGGCTAAAATGCTTAACTCAATTCTGCATAATATTAATTATATTTCTTTATAAAAAGCAGTAAATATCATTGTTTTGTCGAGCTGGTAAAACTGGTAAGAGTTTCTGTTACGACTAAGCAATGAAAAAGTGAAGTTAACTTACAAAAAATGTCATTAAAAAAAAACTCCTCTAAAATAAAAGCAATGCAGTCCATGCATGAGGTGAAATTCCTTGTGAAAATGTGTTTATTTTGTAATACCAAATTGTCTTAAACAGCCGGTCAGAGTCAGCTGTATGAGCTGTATTTGGCCCAGGAGCTGTATAATGCCTAGGTCTGTTATAAAGTCTAATGTTTGATTTAATGTTGTTTTCAGATAAAACATGTCGTTCACATGAAGAACACTTTGATAAATAACTTCTGGAAAAATCACATGAGAGCCAGGCCATGCCCCAGCTGCAAGTAATGCCCATAATCTATTACTACAACTACTACTGCTATTACTGCTGCTATTACTACTGTTTTTACTACCATTACAACTGTCATCACTACTGCTATTACTACTGCTATTACTGATGCTATTATTACTACCATTACAACTGTTACCATTACTGCTATTCCTACTGGTAACCTATAGCAACTTAGACAATCTTAGGAACTCCCAAGTGCATAGTAAAAGTTAAGTTTGATTTATGTTTAAGCGTTATTGTTTTGCCCAGAGAGACAAGAGAGAGGCAATAAATATAGCAAGAATAATCGCTAAGAATTGTTCTGAAAACCAATTTTTTATTTTTTTTAAAAAGGAGCAAATTTGCAGTGCGTCGTGAACACAACAGTAAAATCATCGTCAGCATGCCCTCAGCTCAGACTCTCGACAAAACAGGTAAACTTAACTAGAGATGTCCATAACTGTTCTGTAATGTCTCAAAAACTAAAGTTATGAAGTAGTTAAAGTGTCCATTTTAAGCTGGACTACTCGGCCAATTTGTAGGTTTCAAATTGTACTTCTTGGTTGGAAATTGTGACATCATGCTAGGGAAATCCATAATTGTTACCTAACAAGCTTGACGTACACTGGGTCAAAACTCCTCTAATGTACAGACATTTTTATTTGCTAAATAAAAATACAAGAAAACACTTTATTTTGTTGAAATAATGTTCAAAATATTAGGAAAATGTGTTTCTCATGTGAAAATTTTGACATTTTTTTGGATAGAGTTCTCTCCAGTTAAGGGAACTCTCTGTTTCCTGTAATTCTCAATATCTTTTTCAACAAATTGCTTTATAGTTACATAATCACACCAAATTAACCATCAGAGCCTGTCATACATACTTTAAAATATTTTTGTTTACAGACGACATAATGGCTGGACGGAGGTCTTACTTGACGGCGAGTACAGCCCGAGAACATGTAATTCAACTGTGGGAGAAAGAAGGTAGGGGTAAATTTTTGGTGGAGGGTCCATCAAATGCTTTTCTCCTTGGAGATGTTATTGCTTTGTTTGGAATGTTGCACATTGGTACTAAACCTTTCTATCTTCATGGAGATCAAACCAGACCAAGTTACAGGTCAGGGGCCTCATTTATAAAGCTTGCTTACGCAAAAATCCGTGCGTGCGTGCTTCCTACGTCAACCGCGGTATTTATAAAACTCGCCTAAGGCGTGGCTCTTTGCTTAACTCTACGCCAACTCGGGACCTCCTGTAAATTCTACGCAAAGTCTGGAGACACGGGGAAAAAGCGACACTCGTGGAGAGAGGCAGAAGTGAACAGAGTTTGAGGAAGTGTTTGATCAGAAAATCCACGTATACAGAAGAATTACCTTCTGATTTGCGCATTTAAGTGTTTGGTTCGCCAAAATACGGAGAAGGGCTGTTTATTCCACTCATTATTCTCCACAATATTATACATTTGACACTCGTGCACGAGCGCGGCCACGTTCCCGGACTCGGTGTAGCGCAGAGTCCCATAGTCCACACCGTGACCATAGACTTCTATAGAACTCAGACTGTGACCAACACAGAGGACGAAATAATGACCCAACCTGAGAGAAAACTCTTCCCTTGGACGCAGCAGGAGCCAGACTTTGATTTAATGAACGCAACTTTAACACTTTTACTTTAGTCTTTACGCACCGAGTGACAGAGTGACCCGAGTCAGCGGACAACACGAAGCCCACTGCCCGAACCTGACCGCAACCAAAATCTTCCCTACATTTTTTGTGTAATGGGGAACTCTTGTACATGAGAGCTGCTCTCTGACTGTATGAAGAACAGAATAATGCCCGTGCCCGTCCCGACCCAGACCCACACTCACAGACCCAGACCCACACTCACAGGTTCAGCAGTTTGGATGTTTCGTGTGGATTTTAATTGGCAGAATAACATCTGTATCTGATGTGTTTCGTGCTAAATCTGTGTCCTCGTATCCTCGTGTCCCTCCCTCGCTCCTTTCCCTCTCCAGGGGAGGGCATCTGAATCTCTCGCACGCGCTCATAATTTGACCATTCAGATCAGCGCGTGCATGTATCTACGTGTATATGCATAAATATACAGGGCCAGTCCACACACACTTCATAGACAGACTTAAAAATATAGCGATAAAACTCTTGAAACAGTGAAAAAAACATGGGCTTTACTGCAAAGATGTGCTGCCTAAATATTATGAAATATGATTAAATGAACAGATGAGTTATTGTTGTCACTTTTAGTTTTGTATTTATTTATTAAACAATGTTTAATAAAGTCTTTAATAAAGTCTTTGTAGTGATCACGTGGTGCTGCGTGGAGCGTCCTCCCTCTGTCCCGCTTGTCTCGGTCAAACCCACTGATTATCGGCTCATGTTTAGGGAAATCTCATTCACGAGTCACTTTACATGCTCCTTTTATGGTGAGGTGGAGGTGTGGAGAGGGCGTGACGTGACGTAGGTTTACGTGCGCAAATTCTAGTTGCAGGTGGGATTTATAAAGCAAAGATTGCGTGGTTTGGTGCGTGCGGTGGGTTTTCTAAATATGGAGTTTGCGTGGCGCACGCCTTGTCGTAGCTACTAGGCGTACGCACTAACTTACGACAACTCCTGCGCAGTTTTTATAAATGAGGCCCCTGATCTGTGGAGAGGCAACCCCGCTCAATGCCTGTTTTTCTACTTATTTTTAAGTTATAAATCCTGTAAGTGAATAAATGTGAAGAAGAGCTGTTTAATGTCATACTGTGGAACATTCCAGGCAGAGTAATAACATCCATAGAAACTAGCAGGTGACGGACGCCTAACCAAAAAGTTGCATGGTGTTTTTTGTTTTTTTAACTCGTTCCCCCTTGGACGCCTACTTGGAACAACCCATACATATATTACTAGGGCTTCCCATAGAGCATAACTGCATAAAAGAAAACAGACTTCCACAAGTGATTATAAATGATTTTCACTCATGAGCTTAAACCTATCCATAAAATACGTCCACTCCTCATTATTTCTAAAACTGTGCACCACAGCGCCGCAATCTTTCCATTGCACGTGTTTCGTGTTGTGTTATTTTCTGAAAGCTACAATCGTCACTACTTCGATTAACTTCGGAAAAAATCTGCGAAAACGTATTCTTGAATCCTATTGGTCAGCCTAGTATGGGTTGTAGTGACCCACCTATCACAGACTCTGTTTACATGTGAAAAACCGTTTCTAATGGTCGTCAAATCATTTCTTTAGTGATACAGTGGAGGTGTCAAAACACGTCATTAAGGATACAAGGTGGGGTCGTCAAATGTTGTCTTCATAGGGGAAAGAGTTAAATAACTCTTCAGTATTCTTGAATTGGTGTGTAGGACTGAATTTTTTTTTCTTGTGACAGTGATTAGATATACACTGATGTCAGATTTCTCTTGTACCACAATTAGATTTGATTATTGGGTTATCTGATTAGTGATTAAGGATTTTTTGCTTTGCATGTAAACTGTGAAAACTAATTGCTGCTGTTAATAATAAAATGTTTAATTACATTTATCCTATTGGCTACTCGTTTATCATTTATTAAAGGGCCCATATTACGGTACTCTGTTTTCTATCGTCTATGTTCTAAAGCAGTTTCCTCATCACAAACAGACCTGGAGTTGTGTTTTGTGTCATTCACACGTTTAACACACAAACCCTGCAGATTTATGTTGAGTTCTTCTCTCAAACTGAAAACGCTCCACTGTTCCACCTTGTGATATCGTGTGGTTATACAGGAAGTGCTCCACTGTGTTTTTAAACTCTACACACCTTCACTAGAATCATCTGGATAATTTCAGCCCTGGAATTGCAAATCTCAAACGCTCCTTTTACCTTTAGTTCAGTAAACTTGAAAATTACCACTACATGACATCACAAGACGGAACAGAGCATTTTGAGAATTGAAGATGTAGACAGACCTTTAAATATTCACTTTCTCTCTTTAGGCTTCTTTTTGAAGCGCGTGTTTTCTGGAATGGACTTTGGGTCTAATGAAAACGGCTTTAAACCAGACCTGTTCTTCTTGGAGCTGCTTCTCATCCCCCCTTGCAGGTCAGACTTTGTAACATGTTTTTGTACAGAATCGTAATGTAATCATAAATACTGCATAATACTGAATGAAAATGTTTGTTCAGGTACCGTCCTATTAACCGACTGGGGGATCAGATGTTCACGAATGGACAGACTGTGAATATGCAGGCGGTGATGAGAGACTGTGAAATTATCAGAAAACTGCTGGCATTGATCGCCGGAAAGAAAATACAAGAGGAAGTGGTAAGAATAACAAACTTTAATAAAAACTCTAGCTAACACACTCCATGTTTTTTGTTTTTGTTTTGTGCAGATAAATTCAAAATTAATGATTTAAAGGGCCTGTTTTTTCTGATCTCTGTTCTAATGTAGTTTCCTCATCACAAACAGACCTGGAGTTGTGTTTTGTTTCATTCACATATGCTTAACAAAAAAGTCCTGCATATTTAGTCTGATTCTCTCAGACAACAACATGGAAAAAAGTGGAAGTGCTTCACTGTGTTTTTTCAACTCCACCCACCTTCACTAGAATAATTTGTATAATTTCACCCCTGGAAATTCTATCTCTACCATATAAAAGGTAGCTGTTAACTTGAAATGTGATGGGTGTGATGTGTGTGTGACTCTGAGCTTCTCTGTCATGTCATAACCACTAAACATCAGCAATGCTATGGGCCCGGTCAAGCAGAAGTAAACGGCAAGGCCAAAAATTCTAGTTAATGCATCTCATCTTCTTAAACAGACCATGTATGCAACATGAAGCAAAAATTATTTCCCAAATTTCAAAGACCTGCAAAACATGTAAATAAATTGTTGTATTTCATCATATCTTGTGTTATTCCATCTTTGAACTGTTGATGAAGGTACATGATTTTTAAAAAAAAATGTACTTAAAATGATAAAAATTTGCTTGGAAGGACTGACATATTTTATAAAAATAGTTACCTTTCATTTTGAAGTAATATTAAAGAATTCGGAAGAAAAAAGCTGACAAATTATGCAAAATCATGCACCTTCTACTTGTTTGCACAATTTTCCCTCCGTTACTTTTCCCTCCGTTACCATGACCTTTCTTAATAAAAAATCTCATTACTCAAAAAGTAAGAGGTTTTTCAACCTAATCTTGTACCATATGAAGCAAATATTCAAACCAGTTTGTTAAGGATATGTAAGTGAGAACCGCTAGTTATCACTGTTTGTATTTATTGCCCAAAAAGTGCTGCATATTTCATTCCCTCCGTTACCGACATGAGTTTTTACATTTTTTTGTCAACAACTTGAAAGAATATCACAGGGTTAACTTTACCCTGTTGGAGTGTTAACTCTTTCCTACATTCTAATACCTTACTTATTTCAATAGTTCCTCTAGTTTCTGAATAAGAGCTATTTGAATGTAAAAAATCTGCCCCAGTTTCCCTCCGTTACCGCTTGACCAGACCCTATGGTAAAAGCCAATAAAACAAAAAAAGCTTAAAAATTTAAACTGCAGCATCTTATCCACGCTATCCATAGAAATTGTCCTCCGTAAATAATGTTAGTCCACAAAAACATGCTATTAATCCAGTTTGAAGCGTTCTTTTAAAGTAAAAAAGTGACAGTAGTTCCTCACGTGTGTCTGTTTACTTCCACTGAGCACTGATCGAGGTGAAGCTGCAGATTAGCATTAGACTTTACTTCCTGTGTATGTTATCATGAAGTATTGCGCCACATTTCACACATAACAGCTTTGATCTGCAGTGCTCTAACCTTTGAACACCTATCAGTCTAAAAGTGATTGGTTTTACTGTAGACAGGAAACTGCTGAGGCGAGGTGTGTTCACAGTTTTAGTCTGTGGTATTTTGAGCTTTTTATTGCACATTTAAATATCGTTTAAGACTGAAAAATCTTGTATTGTGTGGCAGCCTTTAGACTGCGGTGACCAATTCACTGACAGCTAATGGCGTACAGACACAAAAATATGCAACAAAGGTGGATTTATTGATGAATGATATAAAAGATAGAGAAATAGGGTGGTTGAGTAAGATGTTGAGGCATGGTGGGGATAAAGGGAAAATTTCAGTGTTGCAATGCACTGTTTAAGAACACTGACTGGACTTGCCTCTCTGCAGACCTGATCTGTAACTTGGTTTGGTGACGTTTTCTGCTTGTCTCTTTGAAGATATATGTTCAGTGCCATGCTGTTGAAACTTCCAGGCAAAGCAATAACTTTTGAATAGAGACAAGCAGGGGGCAAATACTTCACTAGAAAAGTTACTCAGTGCGTTTTTAAAATCCTCCCTGTTTTGTCTGGTCTCCAGGTCCCAGAGCAGCCGGAGCAGGAGCAGATGGAGCCTTCAGACCAGTCCTTCATTATGTCTCTCCCGGGTCAAACTCTCCCAGATAAACTGTACAACATATGGATCAGACTCCAAAGTCACGTCAACATCGTGTTTGACAGTGACATGGACAAACTCATGACCGAGAAGTACCCAGGGATCAAACAGGTACTGAGCCAGGGACTGAGCCAGGGACTGAGCCAGGGACTGAGCCAGGGACTGAGCCAGGGACTGAGCCAGGGACTGAGCCAGGGACTGAGCCAGGGACTGAGCCAGGGACTGAGCCAGGGACTGAGCCAGGACTGAGCCAGGACTGAAGGTGGACTGAAGGTGGACTGAAGGTGGACTGAAGGTGGACTGAAGGTGGACTGAAGGTGGACTGAGCCAGGACTGAGCCAGGAGTGGACCAGGGTTAAAGCAGGAATGACCAAGACTGAGCCAAGATTGAAGCAGGACTGAAGCAGGACTGAAGCAGGACTGAAGCAGGACTGAAGCGGGACTGAAGCGGACTGAAGCCGGGACCAAACCAGGGACCAAACCAGGGACCAAACCAGGGACCAAACCAGGGACCAAACCAGGGACCAAACCAGGGACCAAACCACTAAAATTTTATGTACGTAGATGAATAGTTTCTTTCAAGCTCTTGTCTACTTTTCATGAACCTCTGTGGAATAAATGAACAGGAAGTGTCTTTTGACCATACATACACAATACAATTTAATTACCTAAACAAAATTTTACCTCCACATTTTTTCAGATCCTGGAGAAAAAGGACGGCCTCTTCAGGAAGCACATGATGGGGAAACGTGTGGACTTCGCCGCTCGATCTGTCATCTGTCCGGACATGTACATCGGCATTAATGAGATCGGAATCCCCATGGTAAAGAAACAATGGTCAAATATTATAGCACTGAATAATTAAAGCTGCATTATGTATGTTTCTGGTGGATTGTTTCCATGGAGCCCTATTTATCTCTCACTGTTTTGTTGTAGGTTTTTGCCACTAAACTGACCTACCCTCAGCCTGTGACTCCGTGGAACGTAAAGGAACTTCGTCAGGCGGTTTTAAATGGTCCAAACGTGCACCCAGGGGCCTCCATGGTGATCAATGAAGACGGAAGAAAAACTATTCTATCTCCATCAAACTTCAGCCAGAGAGAGGCAGTTGCCAAACAGCTCCTGACGCCATGTCCTGGGCCTCACAGTATGCCCATGAAGATCGTGAGTGGGTATGTCTATACAAAATAATTTTACCTTTGCTTTAGCACAGAGTGTGAATGAATTTGCTCTAAGGCTACGTTCAGACTGCAGCCTTAAGTGACCCAAATCCGATTTTTTTGGCCCCTATGTGACCTGTATCTGATCTTTTAATGACAGTCTGAACGACACAGATCCGATTTTTTCAAATGTGATCCAGGCCACTTGGATATGTGCTCCTGAAACCGATACTTATCCGATCTTTTGACATGTGACTTCAGTCTGAACGGCCAAAGGGCATTCATCTGACCTACACGTTATCAACAAGCCACAAATGTCACTATTCTGCGCTGAAGTAGGCGAAAATTGTTAATGAACTCCGTGTCACTGAAGCGAAGCACATCACCACTCACCACTCTTGGCTACGTCTCCACATCCACACGTTCCTTTCAACAGACGTTGCTGCCGCTGTCCCACAAAACGTCACGGCCAAAAACCTCGTCCTTCTCAATCTCCTCCTTAAAAGAAGTAAGTTGTTCATGTTCTGGCTCTGGTACGAGAGGAAATTTAAAATCTCCAGGTGCTCAATGCTGCGTCCATGTTTGGACAACTTCCGTAAACACAGAGCACGCTCGCTGCGGTTGACGTCGTCGTGTCTCCAGTGCACAAGCGGGACACTTTTGGACCATTTAATGTTCACACTGGAGTCACATACAAGTAACATTTAATTGGAAATGTGAACGAACTCGCAAAAACATCAGATTTCACAAAAAAATTGGAATTGAGCATTAAGCCCTGCAGTCTGAACGTAGCCTAAGAGTGGTTTTGACAAGAATGAATGACAATAATTTGATAATATTTTACCATCAAATTTGTAAAAAAAAAAAAAACACAATTAAATGTCTTGGTAATTTTTAAACTAAAAGTATGGTATATTTTGCTCAGTTTTAGGGGAGATTGTGTCTCCGAGAACGAGTCACATTTTTGATATAATTAAATAAATCAATCATTTGATTTTATTTTTTATTTTGAATTTCATCCTGAGCTCTTGTGGCACAAAATCTTGTCCCATCGCTACTTCCAATTATAATTAAGATTAAAAAAAAATACTTTACAGCTCTACTGAAATACTACCTTATTTATTAACGAAATATAAACCAAGACTTAAAATAGTTCATACAATTCCATGGAAGTCTTGTAAAAGGGAACTCGCCAGAAGCAATTTTATCTTATAGAAGGGATCCCAGATACACACATAACAAAATACTAGTACATAGTTATTACAAGTTACAATTTCATATTATCCCATACCTAACATTACCCTACAGTCTTTGTTTCCTCACACAAAATGTATATTTCAGTATGTGTCTTATTTCTTTTCCTCTGTAAAAGTAAAGCAGTTTCATGCATTTACTTGTTCTGGCATAAGAAATATGTCTAATTTATCATAGTTTCAAGTAATATTCATACAGAATGTGTTATTTTCTCTTCAGGTAAATCGTCACATAAAGAACGGAGATGTGCTGTTATTAAACCGTCAGCCCACCCTCCACAGACCGTCCATCCAGGCCCACTGTGCACGTATCCTGCCTGGGGAGAAGGTCCGGGCCCATGCCTCTGTTCACATCATAATATAATATTATATGCACCTTTCCCACTGGTTTATCTTGTTTACAGGTCCTGAGGCTGCACTATGCAAACTGTAAAGCCTATAACGCAGACTTTGACGGAGACGAGATGAATGCTCACTTCCCTCAGAGTGAACTGGGCAGAGCTGAAGCCTACACTCTGGTCAGCACCAACCAGCAGTACCTCGTCCCCAAGGTCTGTGCTACACCTATGTGAAACTATGTTACACCAGGTATTCGGAATCACTCACCCCTCGGATATATGAGGATTAGTATTGTCCCGAAGATCTGTGTTACCTAATGTGAAAACCAGTCAAAACTCACCTTTGTGACATATACCGTATTTTCCGGGCTATTAGACGCGCTCTTAAGCCTCTAACCGCATCGAAAAATGACCACGCGCCCCACAATCCAGAGCGCCCCATACACGAGTCCACTCGGGTGTCCCAGCATGACTTCAGTAAACTACAAAGCCGCACCACCTGCAGCGCACGCAAACACACACGGAGCAGACAGCGACCGCACAGCCAAAAACACCCGCAGCCACACTCATCACTCCACGCCGACGAGGAACGGAACAAAGGAACGAACCGAAAAAGGAGTCACAACTAAACAACCCAGAAAGCACCCTCCCTACGCGCCACAATTGAACTAAGCCCAGAGTCACCGTGAACGCAACAGACAAAGTCCCACTGACCCATCCAACTGTTGTGTTTTGTTTAAAGTCCAGTGCGGTTTATTTGTAAAAAAAAGTTCAAAAATAGACATTTAATGACAGTGTGTCTTATAATCCAGAGCGCCTAATAGCCTGTAAAATATGGTATGTAGGACAAAAAGTTTTGTCACAATTTTCCATAACCATTTGTAACCATAGCCAAACTCCAGTTATCAGCTTTACAATAAAAACATATTTTCTGGTTGACTTTGACTCTTGTGAGCTTTAAACCATGTTATAATGTTGTTACCACATCAAAAACTGACCTGGAGTTGTGTTTTGTTTCATTCACACATGTCTGAATAATCCTTTATTATTAGTCATTCTACATCTCCAAATCTCAGAATGCTTTGTTCCACCTTGTGATGTCATGAAGTGATATTTTTCAAGTCAGTAGCTACCTTTTGCCTTTTGTTCAGTAGATATATCCAAATGATTGTAGTGAACGTGTATGGAGTTTAAAAACACAGTGGAGTACTTCCTGTATTACCATAACAAGGTGTTTTCTGTTTGAGAGAAGCCTAAATATGCAGGGTTTACATGTTAAAACATGTGAATGAAACAAGACAAGTCCAGGTATGTTTGTGATGAGGAAACAACATTATAAAATTGAGTAATATGAGCCCTTTAACCAGTATTTTTTATCACTGTTTGTGTAATGTCAAAATAACTTGAATGGCCTTTTGAGCTGCCTGAAATTTGCCAAGTTTACAAATAAAGGTACCTTAACCCAAACGGACACTGTGCACTGACCTCCCCCTGCCCTCTCCTCAGGATGGGAAGCCTCTGGCCGGTCTGATCCAGGACCACATGGTGTCTGGGACTCGGATGACGATTCGGGGTTGTTTCTTCAATAGAGATCAGTACACAGAGCTGGTCTACAGAGGACTCACTGATAAACAGGGGAGAGTGAAACTCCTCCCACCAGCTATTCTCAAACCATACCCGCTTTGGACTGGGAAACAGGTGAGCTGTCTGTCTCTACTACTATATTCTACATTTATTTACTAGGGTTCTGAAAAATCAATGCAAGAATAATATTGATGTTCGGTATTTATATTGATACTGAAAAGGAAAAAGGGCATAAATGGGGCAAACTGACCTTTCCTGAATAGTGTTAGAATGGTCTGGATCTATATCAGAACTAGTAGAAGACCACCTGATAATAAGAAACTATTACTATCTCGGTTGAAAATGAGATTCTAATGTCTGTTTTATTTATCAAGACCATCCTTTAGTTTGGTATTTGAGTTTGAGAGTTTGAGAGAACACTGTTATGTACCACCACATAACAACAGCCACAGCTATGTTGATACTTTGTAGTGACATCACACTGGGGTGGTTCTGCATGTATGTGTGGTGGAATGTTCATCAGTTGCTATGGTGTCACAATGCACAATGCAAACAGCCAAAAAAGTTTTAAAATCCAAAAAGAAAAGATACAAAATACAATCCAACATATTTTCAGGAACTTGTGATCAATAGGAGCGTTCACGGTCCTGTTTAGGACTTTGATTTTCAACAAAAAGGTGAGAGTGACTGAAACTGTTGGCTAATGTTAGCTACCTTATGTATGTAATGGTGTTTGAGAGAATTGTTTAACAGCACAAATCAGCTCACCTGTTGTAACTAAGTCAGTTCTTCATGGTCAGATAAAGCTCAGATTAAAGTCTAACTTGTGTAACAGATCTTCAGACAGGGCAGTATCTATACCTCTATATGCTTCCATATAAGTTTGCAAAAATAATGAGGCAAAAAACATTCAAGTAACAAGTGAATTTCTCAACTGTGAAAAGTACCTCTCTCTGTCTTATCTCAATGAGTGATTCTGATTATCTCCTGTAGGTGGTGTCCACGCTGCTCCTAAATGTCATCCCAAAGAACGCAGTTCCTCTGAATCTGGTCGGAAAATCCAAGATCCCGAATAAAGCCTGGATCAAGGAACCACCCAGGTCCTGGCCTGGATACAAACCAGAGACCATGTGTGACTCACAGGTGGGTCCAGAAGGGCGCCGAGGCTAGACTGGTTTGGAAATACAGAAAGAGAAACTATATTTTTATACTAATTATGATAATTCATGTCATTTCTACACATACAGATTTGTACTTGTTTGGGGTTCTGGATAATACCGTAGATCTAGTCTCCAATTCACTATTCATAGTCATTTGTTTAGCTTTTATATGCAAGATTTCTGTTCGTAGGTGGTGATCCGTGAGGGGGAGTTGTTGGTTGGAGTCCTGGATAAGGCCCACTATGGCTCTTCTGCCTATGGCCTGGTGCACTGCTGTTATGAGCTCTATGGAGGAGAGACCAGCGGAAAACTGCTCAGCTGTTTGGCCAAACTCTTCACCGCATATCTACAACTCTACAGAGGATTCACCCTGGGTACGGTATTTAAAAGGGCCCATATTGCACTGTGTTCTGATCTATGTTATAATGTAGTTTCCTCATCACAAACTGACCTGCAGTTGTGCTTCGTTTTAACTGTGTTTTCTCTTAACTTCAAGTTGTTAACAGGCGTGCTACTGTATGCCCGGCATTTTTGATGACAAAACAAAAAACAAACAAAAAAATCAAAGTGAGACTAAACTCCAAATAAATGTTTTTCTGCAATTTAACAGTGTACATGCCGTTTTAGGTTGTGTTATCCACTGTTTCTTCTTAGTGCAGCCCAGTTTAACAGCTCATTTAGACTGACTATGGATGGAATTAAGGTGTTATTAAGAGTGCATATAAAGTTTCCATCACACCCAACTATAATCTTTTTTCTGTTCAGGTGTGGAGGACATTTTGGTGAAGCCTGGTGCCAACAAACAACGTAAAAAGATCATTAAACAGTCACTGAAAATTGGGACCAAAGTGAGTTTTTACAGATTCTAGATATGTGTTTCTTTGCAGTGCCCCGTCTTTAGTTGGTACAATAAATAAGATCTTCAAAGTAGTTAAAATTTGAAATTAATGGAAAAATCTCAAATTAAAAAGAAAATTTGGTAACTTTTTTATCATGTTTGCGTAATACCGTAATTGGAATTTTGTGTTCTTGTATTTTGATAATCATAATTTGAATATACACACTGAAAATATTATTTATTGTGTTCTCTATATTCTCTATCTAGAAGTTTTTACTCACCGTATTTCACTTTTTTGGTTAAAATGTAGTTAGGAAGTCTCAATGTACAGAAATCTCTCTACGTTTATTCATACATTAAAATAGACTTCAACAAACTTTACTGATCCACAAGAGAAATGATTTAGACACAGTAGCTCACACATCACAATATAATTATAATAACAAAGAGGAAAAAATACAAATGGCAATAATAAATTCTAAATAAGTAGCAATAAAAATAGAGACTGGCATAATTATATAAATGTAAATGTACAAGTAAAAATAAAATAAGAAAAAAGTAATTATCTATACACAAGAGGTCATAAGGAAAACAGTGCAAAGATGACATGATGACTGACCAGTGTTGGGGAGTAACAGATTACATGTACCAGAGTTATGTAATCAGAGTACAAATTATGAGTAACTGTATTTAGTTACAGTTATTGTTTCAGTGAGTGGTAATTGGATTACAGTTACTTTGTTGAAATAAATGGATTACACTGCGGTATTTTCCTGTTTTCACATTTGGGCTATATCCCCTTTTTTTTTTCCTCGGTAATTCCACTCATTGCTGGATATTAAACCAGGTCTAAAACCAGGACTAAACCAGGACTAAACCGGGTCTAAACCAGGACTAAACCAGGAAGAATCCAGGACTAAACAAGGACTAAACCAATTCTAAACCATGTCTAAAACAGGATTTAACAGGACTAAACCAGGACTAAACCAGGACTAAACCAGGACTAAACCAGGACTAAACCAGGTCTAAACCAGGTCTAAAACAGGATTTAACAGGACTAAACCAGGAATAAACCAGGACTAAAGCAGGTCTAAACCAGGTCCAAAACAGGATTTAACTGGACTAAACCAGGACTAAACCCGGACTAAAACCCGGACTAAACCAGGTCTAAACCAGGTCTAAAACACAATTTAACAGGACTAAACCAGGTCTAAACCAGGATTTAACAGGACTAAATCATGCTGCTCGGACCATGTCTCCTCTTCTTCTATCAATAATATTTTTATACGGTTAAGTAAAGGCTCGGCCCTTTCATTTTCTTTTATCAGGCAAAACAGCTTAAGTGAAGATATCCTAATCTTTGCTTTCTACAGCAAATCAAGTAATCCAAAGTATTCAGATTACGTTACTCACTTTAAGTAATTTAATGGATTACGTTACAAACTACATTTTGGGGTAGGTAATCTGTAATCTGTAGGGGAATACATTTTAAAAGTCACCTTCCCAACACTGTGATTGACAGGACATAGGGTTATCTGTTACATAAGGGTGAGTTGTTGTACAGTTGTAGGGAGTATTATAGTATGAATGTAAGTCTGTATTTCTCACCGTTTTAGAGCGGAACGGTAGGAGCCTGTTGGAGAATAAGAAATTTCACAGTCTTTTAAAATACAAATTCATTCCAAGTCCCCCTAGTAAAGTCTCTGTACTCCTGGTTTTGAGACTCTACGGCTACTGAAATAGTCATTAGTTGCAGTCTTTTTTTAAAACCTTTTCTGTTCTCTTAACTTTGTATTATATTCCTCTCTCTCTTTCAGGCTCTGCAGGCTGCCTTTAACCTCCCTTCTGACGTGGAGCAGGCAGAGGCTCAGAGCAGGTGGCAGGACTCCCACCTGAATCCCGACCAGAGAGACTTCAGTTTGGCAGACCACAAGTTTAAAGAGGTCGCCAACCAGATCAACAATGATATCAACAAGGTAACAACAAGATCCGTGTAAAATACTGTGAAGAAGATAGAGCATGTCCAATCTCAAGTGTAAAAATAAAATCTCAGAATTAGCTGTTTAAAAATGGAAAGATGTAAGAATAATATGTTAAGTATTTTCTGATAGTTGAACCTCAAGTAGTGCATTTGAAGACATTTTTAGCACATTTCTCTTGGACTTAAAGGGTGCATTTTGTAACTTTTCTGGTGGCGAGCCTATCAAATGCTTCTCTCCATGGAGATGTTATTGCTTTGTATGGAATGTTTCACAGTATAAACTAGGGTTGGGTATGATTAGTCGATTAATCGATAATTGATCATTAAGAATTTCATCGATTACGTTCATTTTAATCAACAAACCGAATGTAGGTTGCTGTGCATAGCGTGACCAAACGGGTCTGTACATGTGTCTCTCTGAACTCAGAAGGAGCGAGACACAAACAGTCGGTCAGTCTGCAACGTGCTGAAGCGCAAATGCGTATTTAACGATGACTTGTACAAGAAATTCCATGCTTTCCGTTGCGTTCGGGACAAGTGTGAGGCCATGTGCACAGTGTACAAAGCAGCACATATGTTTCGGTGTCCAGTGGGAAAAAGTTCTGCCAGGTGAGAGTCGCTCAATGTCGATGACGAGTCCCGACCTCCCTCCCCCCGTACGGTGTCCTGGTTTTGACAAATGCAAATATGGTCACACTAACCTGTATTTCACTAAGTCATGTCGCATCAGAGCACAAGAGCTGTTTTTTTTTCTTCCCTTAATTTATGTAAATTAGCCATGTGGTTTTAAGTTTTGTTTCTGTGAGAGTTGCGCATATCTGCATTAAACATATTATAATGTCAAACGGGCTGATGTGGCTCTAGAGTGGTTACGGTTTATATGTTGTAAAGTTGAATTTATTTATGCAGATTAGTGCGGATAGTAATAATAATGATGATAATTTTAATATAAAAAACGTTAATGATTAATCGATAATCGATCGTTAATTCTCCCGACGATCGATTAAGAAAATTTTATCAAATGCCCATCCCTAGTATAAACCCTTCTATCTTCATGGAGACCAAACCAGCCCAAGTTACAGGTCAGATCTGTATAGAGGCAACCCTGCTCACAGTCAAAATGCCTGTTTTTCTAGATATTTCTGAGCTATTAAACCACCTGTAGTTGAATAAACGTAAGGTAGAGTTGTTTAATGTCATACATAGAAACAAGCAGGTGATGGATTCCTAACCAAAAAGTTACATAGTGCACCTTTAATGTAGTCTGATTATTACAATGTATTTTTTTTTTATATTATTCTCATCAATAACATGCACCCTAGACTATATATACCCAAATCTAGCTGGATAGTGAAAAGCTTCTTCTCCACAATGTTCGTACAAATTATAAGATGACCAATTTACCTCACTTAGATATAATGCTGTTACTGTCTTTGCTCTCTCTCCAGGTCTGTATGCCCATAGGACTCCATAGATCTTTCCCCGACAACAACCTGCAACTCATGGTTCAGTCTGGAGCCAAAGGATCCACAGTCAACACTATGCAGGTAACTCATCTTTATTGTTTAGGTGTATTTATTAACTCAACTTATTTTTTATTTTTTGTGTAACCTTTTGGTTGTGAGTCTGCCATTGCTCTGCCTCGAATGTTCCACAGTATGACATTAAATTACAAGCGGTTTTATAGCTCAAAAATGCTGATGACCATTCTGACTGTTAGTGAGGTCGCCTCTCCACAGATCTGACTTGTAACTTGGTCTGGTCTGGACTCCATGAAGATGGAAACGTTTAATACCATACTGTGAAACATTGCAGACAAAGCAATAACATCTGGAGACAAGCGTTTGACAGCCCCTCCTCCAGAAAAGTTACATAATGCACCTTTAAATAGTGCAGTCTTGTCAAATTCAGTGCTCCGTCTTCAGTCGGTGTCACTGGCCAAAATGGCTGCCACAGTGAAGTGTAGTTCATGGGCCTCATTGGTTTACACCTGATCTCTGAGGATAAATATGTACTACACACAGCTAAGATCTGTACTCTGCATTCATGTTAGTTATACTGTGACATAAGTTAATGCGATTATGTGATAGATTTTATTGTAAGCTCCTAAGACATAGACCATGACTCTTTGAGCTAAAATCAAATATTTTAAAGAAAGCAATCTGAAGAAGTATGTCCGTATTTTCCGGGCTATTAGACGCGCTCTTAAGCCTCTAATCCCATCAAAAAATGACCGCGCGCCCCACAATCCAGAGCGCCCCATACACGAATCCACTCGGGTATCCCAGCACGACTTCAGTAAACTACAAAGCCACAACACGCACAGAACAGACAGCGACCGCACGGCGAAAAACAGACACACTCATCACTCCACGCTGACGAGGAATGGAATGGAGGAACAAACCGAAAAAGCGAGTGCAATGTACCACTTCTAGACACAACTGAGTCACTGCGAACACACCGACAATCCAGCGGTCCCAGACAACACCCTCCCTACTCGCCACAACTGAACAAAGCCTAGAGTCACCGTGAACGCAACAAACAAAGTCCCACTGACCCATCCAACTGTTGTGTTTTGTTTAAAGTCCGGTGCGGTTTATTTGTGAAAATGTTCGAAAATAGACCATTTAATGACACTGCGTCTTATAATCCAGAGCACCTAATTGCCTGGAAAATATGGTAGTGTCTTTACTCTCTTAAATAATTATGTTAAAACTCGTCTTGTCCTTTTTATTGTAGATCTCGTGTCTGTTGGGTCAGATCGAGTTGGAGGGGCGGCGGCCTCCCCTGATGCCTTCAGGGAAATTTCTGCCGTGTTTTCAGCCGTATGACCCCTCACCTGGAGCTGGGGGGTTTGTGTCTGGAAGGTTCCTCACTGGCATCAAACCACAGGTGAAATGAAAACACTGAAGTTGTTAAATTATACATTTATATTTTATTATATATTTGTACAGTTAAATTATACACACAAATGGTTTTACAAATGTCTTCAGTCAGAAATGACCTTAAAGCAGATATATTGTGCTTGTCTCTGCTCTATAGTTATAATCTACAACACCCGTTGATTATTATGTTATTATTTAGACATTTTAAATCACAATATTCATCTAAAAACAACTAAAACAACTGCACATCACACTAGAGCAGAGCTTTTTTTTTTTTTTTTTTTTACACCTTTGGACCAAAATGACTATGTGACGCTGCCCAATCCTACGTGTATCACTGATTAAGAAAATAAAACTGGAGAAGGACGAGTGTACAGAGCAGTGGGCGTGTACTGGTGGCAGTGAAAACGAGGGTAAATTGGAGCAATGACGCCTTGAGTACAGAAGAATAAAAATTGCCTATACATGCACGAGTCACTCTAAATACAATTTCAGAGGGTCAATGAGAAGAGGAATAACTAACATGACTAAAAAGTCAATTTTGTAGAATCGGTCTGCTTTAAAATGATGTGGTACGGGATTATTTAACAACTATTAGAACGTTTAGGTGATGACATTTACCATAAATCAGACAAAATAAGGCAATAATTTTTGTCATTTAGCTTTTACCTGTTGATTTCTATGGCAGGAGTTCTTCTTTCACTGTATGGCTGGGAGAGAGGGACTGGTCGACACGGCTGTGAAAACCTCCAGATCTGGATATTTACAAAGGTAACATTGTGCTGCTCTTTATATTTATACATGTTTCAATTAGGGATGGGCATGATCAGTCGATTAATCGATAATTGATCATTAAGAATTTTGTTGATTACGTTCATTTTTAATCGACAAACTGAATGTAGGTTTCTGTGTGTAGTGTAGGGTGACCATCCGTTTTTCACGTCCTGTCCTGGCGTCCGGGTTTTTGTTTTTTTTAATAAAGTGATGCAAATGTTCAGGTTTTCATTTCCTTTCATTGGGACATTAAACTGAGCGTCTCTCGTAGCGTCTCTGCACTCAGAAGGAGCGAGACACAAACAGTCAGTCTGCAACATGCCGAAATGCAAATGCGCATTTAACGATGAATTGTACCAGAAATTCCCTGCTCTCCGTCCCAGTCGAGATGTGTGAGTCCATGTGCATAGTGTACAAAGCAGCACATATGTGTCTCTGTCCAGTGTGCCAGGGACCTTAAAGCACCAGCACACCCAAAAACATGAAAAAGTTTTGCCAGGTGAGAGTCGCTCAATGTCGATGACGAGGCCCCACTTCCCACCCCCCGTACGGTGTCCTGGTTTTGACAAACGTCCAAACGGCCAAATCTAGAGTGATTATGTTTATATGTCGTAAAGTTGAATTTATATGTGCAGATTAGTAATAATGATTAATCGATAATCGATCGTTAATTCTCTTGACGATCGATTAATGAAATTTTCTCAAATGCCCATCCCTAGTTTCAATAGTTCATAATAGTTGTAGTTTTTGAACCAGGACTCAAATCTGTCTCATAAATAGTGCAGTCTTGTCAAATTCAGTGCTCCTTCTTCAGTCGGTGTCACTGGCCAAAATGGCTGCCACAGTGAAGTGTAGTTCATGGGCCCCATTGGTGTAAACATGATCTCTGGGGATAAATATGTACTACACACAAATACATAAAGGTGCAAGTAAGAACTAAATAAAGTTTGCTTGGATTTAAAATAATTGTATTTATATTCATTAATAAAAAACTATTATAAAGTAATTATATTTCTTTCTCTATTTCTCTTTTATCCCCCTCTCTCCCTCTCTCACCCCTCTATTCCTCATTTTTTAATCCCTCTCTTTCTCCCTCTCCTCATTTCTATTTTTAATGCCTCTTGCACTTTCCCTCTCTATTTCCTCTCCCTTTGTTCTTCTTTCCTGCCCTCTCTCTTTCTCTCCATCACCCCCTTCCTTTTCTGTTCATCTCCACCCTCCACTCTCTTTCCTCTCCTTTACTTCCCTCTCTCCTTTCTCCATCTCTCTCTCTCTCTCTCTCTTCCCCAGATGTGTGATCAAACACCTGGAGGGTCTGGTGGTGCAGTATGACCTCACAGTGAGAGACAGCGACGGTTCTGTCATTCAGTTTCTTTACGGAGAAGATGGACTGGACATCCCAAAGACTCAGTTTCTTCAACCCAGACAGTTCCCCTTCGTCGAGGAGAACTATGAGGTACGAAGCAAAACCAGGGCCGAACCAGGGCCGAACCAGGGCCGAACCAGGGCCGAACCAGGGCCAAATCATTACTGAACCAAGATTGAACCGGGAATAGGCCTGGACTAAACAAAACTGAAAACAAACTACTTATAAATCAAATTATTCAAAGCAAGGTTATAAGAACTTTCACACACACGTCCTTCCTTGTTTGCTGACAATAAATAGATGCAAATGTACACTTTGGTCTCATTTTGACCTCAAGATCTTTTCTTTCTTTCTTTTTTTCTTATAAGAGCTGCTGCATTTCACTTTCTATGTGAAGTACAGCCCCAACATAGCAATATATTGAAAAGTCTAAATTTGATATTTTCAACATTGAGTAAAGTTTGCAGTATCATAAATAGTGCAGTCTTGTCAAATTCAGTGCTCCTTCTTCAGTCGGTGTCACTGGCCAAAATGGCTGCCACAGTGAAGTGTAGTTCATGGGCCCCATTGGTTTAAACATGATCTCTGGGGATAAATATGTGCTACACACAATGTATATGGCTTTAATCCTATTTTAGTGCCTGGTTTAGTCCTTGGTTTAGTTCTCGATAACACCTATTTCAGTCTGGATTTAGTCCTGGTTTAATACAAGTTTGGTCCCTGGATTAGTTCTGCTTAAAACCTGGTTTAGTCCTACTTTAGTCTGGATTTAATCCTGGTTCAGATCTTGCTTCATTTGTCCTTGTTTAATCCTAGTTTAGTCTGCTTAACACCTGGTTTAGTCCCTCATTTATTCTGGATTTAGTCCCAGTTTAGTCCCAGTTTAATCCTGTTTTAGTCCCTGGTTTATTTCTGTTTAACATCTGGTTTAGTCCCTCATTTAGTCTGGATTTAGTCCTGGTTACGTCCGCCAAGGAGGTTATGTTTTTGCCGGCGTTTGTCTGTTTGTCTGTTTGTTTGTTTGTTTGTCTGTTAGCAACATAACTCAAAAAGTTATGGACCGATTTTGATGAAATTTTCAGGATTTGTTGGAGATGTGAAAAGGAAGAACTGATTTCATTTTGGGGGTGATCCGGAAGAAATCCTGGATTCTGGATCACTTTGAAATTTTAGTTAACATTGTGGTAAATGGGGCCAAAAATTTTGTTTCTCAATATCTCGGTTAATTATTGACCAAACCCCATGAAATTTGACTCAAGGATGGACAATGTGATCCTCTTTCATATTCCAAAGGCTGATCCGGATCTGATCCAGAAGACTGATTTTATCGCAATTTATATAAAAAATGGGGGTAGTCCTTGGCGGAGGTCTGCGCTCTCTGAGTGCTGTTCTAGTTTAATCCTACTTTAGTAACTGGTTTAGTTCTGGTTAAAACCTGGTTAAGTCCCTCATTTAGTCTGGATTTCGTCCTTGTTTAATCCTATTTTAGTCCCTGGTTTGGTTCTGTATAACACCTGTTTTAGTCCCTCTTTTAATCTGGATTTAATCCTGGTTTAAGACTACTTTAGTAACTGGTTTAGTTCTGGTTAAAACCTGGTTTAGGTCTGGTTTAATCTGAATTTTGTTATGGTCTAGTCCTGGTTTAGCCCTGCTTTTACCACTATTTTAGTCAATCTTTGGTCCCTGATTATAAATGTCAGTTTATTGGTTCTAACTGTCCCTAATTTGGTTTTAGTTTATTCAACATTATACTAATATTTTTTTGTTAAAGTTGATGTCTATTTAATATTATGTGAAAATATTAAAAATAAATAAATGAAATTATGTTAACTTTTTTTTTTATAGGTCATAAAGAAATCCCAGGGTCTTGATGAGGTTCTGTCTCGGCTTGACCCTGAAGCTGCCAGACAACACTTTGCAGCGATTCAGAGATGGAAAAACAAGCAGGAAAGGGCCAATCCGAGACAAGGTGAACACACAAACATTTCTGCTACAATCATATGAGGCGGTGTTTTATTTTACTTATATTTTACTATATTTTACAAATATATTTTTAAAAATCTTTTAGTATAATTTATTTACATGTTCTACATTACGCAAAATTGATTTTGTGAACTTAAAGTCATGTTAGAATGTTATTTCTTCAAAAGCATACCTGGGGTTTTGTTTTGTTTCATTCACACATGTTTAAGTAACTCTTTATTATGAGTCTGTCTACATCTCCAAAGATCAAAATGCTCTGTTCCACCTTGTGATGTATGATGAACCGGTAGTTTTCAAGTCAACAGCTACTTTTTATCTTTTGTTCAGTATACATTGGCAATTCCAGGGTTGAAACTTTCCAAATGATTCCAGTGAACGTGTGTGGAGTTTAAAAACACAGTGGAACATTTCCCGTAATGACACATGACATCACAAGGTGGAACAGTGTTTTCCTTTTGAGAGAAGAACTCAGCCTATATCTGCAAGTTTTGTGTGAATGAAACAAAACACAACTCCAGGTCTGTTTGTGATGAGGAAACTATATTAGAACATGACTTAAAGCTCACATGAGTCAGTTTTTGTAATAATAGCACCTTTAAATCTACATTATGAGGAGGTGCTCAGGATGTTTTGGGGCCATTTTGAGAACTTGATGATACATGCCATTTTAAATTACGTCTTTGAGAACAGCTGCTCTCCTGAACCTGTCTGATCATGTCTGCCATCTCATCATAAAAAAATCTCTTCTCCTTAGTTTCTCCTCAGGTTGGAGATGTAACTACTGTTTCTTTCACTGTATATCAACCTTGCAATACATTTTTATTAATTAAAGCTACACAGTGTGATTTATTTTATTTTTTTCATAGCCCACTTGTGTCTATGGAGTTGTTATTGCTTAACCCGGAATGTTCCACCAGACCCTTTACTTTTTTAGTTAATTCTGTTCATATTGGCTGCACTAAAGCAGCAAGGAATCATGGTCTATGTAGTTCCATCACTTTTTTTTTTCTATTATACAAAACAAAACAATAAAACAAACACAGAACAGAAGAGTGCCGTTACAGTCGTTCAATGAAATATCAATTAAGATGTGTTTATGCTATTAATTTTCAGATAAAATCCGATCTGATAAGTTTCACATACTCAGTCCATTTCGTCCATGTTTCATAAAATAAGTCCCTTTGGTTCCGGAGGGTGAAAGACAGCTTTTCCATCACATAAATTTCAAAGACTATTTCTATCCACCCTCAGCCATTTTCTTGTAATGGCTTTTTTGCTTTCTACAAGTAGGATTGCTTATAACTTTTTATCATCATTTCCCCAACTCTGGACATTAACATCTCCCAAGTATAGACACTCAAGTGTAAGCATCAATTTAGATCCAAAAACATGGTTTATGTGACTCCAAATCTGTGACCAATAAAATTTCAGAATAGTGCAATCCCATCACTTTTTTTTTATATTTCACATATTTATTGCTCTGTTTTTCCAGGTGCATTCTTGGTGTTCTCACAGAAGAAACTGGCCAAACTCAAAGAGTCAATAGAAATGAATGAAATCCTCAATGGTCGAGACACTCCAACTTTACAGGTACACTAACCACTCATCTTTGTACATTGATACTTTGCAGTGACATCGTGGATCTCTATGGTGGAATCTTCACCAGTTACCATGGTGACCCAATACACACATTAGTCTCACCTGTTGTAGTTCTAATCCCAAATCAGATCATAAATTGTTAATCTGATCACATTTATCTGTCAAGATTCAGTCAGATCAACCAAACTTAAGAGCATGTGGTTTGAAGTTCAGAATTTAGAAGAATACATTTGACTATTTTTGTGTTTAATGGACCTGATAAAAAGTATTTTAGTTTTGGAAATTAAGAGTAAAAGCCATTTATGAGTTTTTTAAAAAGTCAAAATAAAATTGAAGCAAAAATTGTGATCTGTGAATATGAGGGGAGAAAAAAACAGATTCATTTCTTTGTTCTGTTGCTCAAGCCTAATGTACCTTCTCTCCTCACAGTTGATGGAGCAGTGGCGTTCCCTGGATGCACAAAGCAGGTCCAAGTTTGGGAGAAAGGCTTTGCGATGTCCTGAGCCGGTGCTGGGTTTAATGAGGCCGGACGTAAGCTTTGGATCTGTGTCTGAAAACTTTAATGACATCACAGAGAAATATCTGAGCAGCCGAACGGACCTGAGTGAACACAACAAGGAAAGGTTTGTTTAAAAAAAATGTTCTGAGATTGTGTTAAAGGTAGGGATGTAACGATTTTTCACAGTATGCGTCTCATTCAGAGGCTAACAAAACTGTGAATATGCTACTTTTCCTTTTTAAAATGCCTTGAGAAGCCTGTGGTTCTGTCATAACTCAAAAAATTAAGATTAAAAAGTGCTTAATAAGTTATTTTTTTGGGTTAATTGGACTGAAACAGAGCAAAGGATCATGGTCTATGTAGTTCCCTCTGTTTCTTTTAGCTCATGCTGCACCATAACTAGGAATTTAAGTAAAGAGAAGTGAGATTCAGTATATTGTGATGGTCCACGATATTATTGAGAGACTTTTGATGATACGACATCACAATATTTTGGTTATTGTTACATCCCTAGTTAAAGATGCACTGTGTAACTTCGAAGGTGCAGGGAGGGTTCGCTACTTGCTTGTCTCCATGGAGATGTTATTTCTTTGCTTGAAATGTTCCACAGTAGGGCGTTGAACATATCTCCCTTGCATTTGTTCAGTTACAGGTATTTTATAGCACAGAAATACCTTCAAGTTGCACTGTGTACCATATTTTCCGGGCTATTAGGCGCTCTGGATTGTAAGACATACTGGCATTAAATGGTCTATTTTCGAACTTTTTTAACAAATAAACTGCACTGAACTTTAAACGAAACACAACAGTTGGATGGGTGAGTGGTTTTGTTTGCTTGTTGCGTTCACGGTGACTCTGGGCTTTGTTCAGTTGTGGCGTGTAGGGAGGGTGCTGTCTGGGACCGCTGGATTGTCGGCGTGTTCGCAGTGACTCAGTTGTTCAGTCGTGTCTAGAAGTGGCACATTGCACTCGCTTTTTCGGTTCGTTCCTCCGTTCCGTTCCTCGTCGGCGTGGAGTGGTGAGTGTGTCTGTGGGTGTTTTTCGCTGTGCGGTCGCTGTCTTCTCCGTGTGTGTTTGTGTGTTCTGCGGCTGGTGCGGCTTTGTAGTTTACTAAAGTCGTGCTGGGACACCCAGGTGGATTCATGTATAGGGCGCTCTGGATTGCGGGGTGTGCAGTCGTTTTTTGATGGGGTTGGAGGCTTAAGAGCGCGTCTCATAGCCCGGAAAATATGGTAACTTTCCGGGTGGAGGGTCCTTCACCATGGAGATATTGTTGCTTTTCCTGGAATTTTTCACAGTATGAGGATATTTCCATTGAGACAGTTCCACTAGAATATATATTTTGCAAGCTATTGTTCTAAAAGAAACATCTATAATTAAATAATAAGCAAGTATAATGCCATTCTGTGGTACATTCTAGTGAAAGCAATCTCCATGGACACAACCAGGGGCTTTCCAGGAACGTTACATTGTGCACCTTTTAAAAAACATGAATTCTTACCATGTGCAGGCTTCCTTATCCATAGATCTGACCATTAACCTGTCTCCATAGTGAATATCAAGTTTATTTGTATATTGTGCAATAAAGAAGAAGTAACAAAAATATCTCTTTTGTGTTTGCCTCCTCCAGCCTTCGTCACCTGTTACATTATAAATGGCAGCGTGCTCTGTGTGACCCCGGGGAGGCCGTGGGGCTCCTCGCCGCTCAGTCCATTGGGGAACCCTCCACTCAGATGACTCTAAACACGTTCCACTTTGCTGGAAGAGGAGAGATGAACGTCACGCTGGGAATACCTCGGTAAGTTATACCTAAAGAAGACATATACTGTAGTGCTTGTGTGTGTTGTGTAGTTCTAATCTACAGTGTGACACCCGTGGATCATTCTGTTATAATTTGCACATTTTAAATCACAATATTGATCTAAAACAAAAGAAGCAAGTCCACTGCTTTCCACGTGCCTCAGAGCTTACTTCTGCTTTTTGTATGGAACTGTCGGAGTTAATGACATAGGTGAAGGGATTTCATTTTAGAACTCAGTTACTTCTTGTATTTTTATACTCAAATTTTTTCCACAAGCTCACACTTAACTGATGTAAAACCTGTCATATTAAGTTAGGTCTAAACAGGCATGACTTTGGACTGGTCAAAAACTATGTAGAATGTAGAAATCAGTACTAAACCAGAACTAAATCTCTCTGTCTCCCCCTCTCTCTCTGCCTCTCTTTTTCTTTTTCTCTTTCTCTCTTGCATCTTCTCTCTTCTCTCTTGCATCTTCTCTCTTCTCTCTTGCATCTTCTCTCTCTGGCTTCCCTCTTCTCTCTCTCTCTCTCTCTCTCTCTCTCTCTCTCTCTCTCTCTCCCTCCCCATTTCATATTTCGTTCTCGCACTCCCTCGCTCTCTTTCTCTTTCTCTCTTCCCTCTTCTCTCTCTTCTCTGTCTTGTGTCTTCACAGACTGAGGGAGATCCTGATGATTGCCAGCTCCAACATAAAGACTCCCATGATGAGTGTCCCGGTCCTGGGCACCAGAAAAGCCCAGAAGAAAGCCAAAGTTCTGAGGAAAATGCTCACGCGTGTCTGTTTGGCTGAGGTCAGTCTTCAGAGGCCAGAGAGGAGTTTTGTACACTAACACTAATAGCAACTAGGGATGGGCATGATTAGTCGATTAATCAATAATTGATCATTAAGAATTTCATTGATTAAGTTCATTTTAATCGACAAACCTAGGTTGCTGTGCGTAGTGTGACCAAACAGGGGTCTGTACATGTGTCTCTTTGCACTCAGAAGGAGCGAGACAAACAGTCGGTCAGCTGCAACCTGTCTAAACACAAATGTGTATTTAACGATGACTTGTACAAGAAATTCCACGCTTTCCGATGTGTTCGGGACAAGTGCACAGTGTACAAAGCAGCACATATGTTTCAGTGTCCAGTGGGAAAAAGTTTTGCCAGGTGAGAGTCGCTCAATGTCAATGACGAGTCCCCACCTCCCACCCCCCGTACGGTGTCCTGGTTTTGACAAACGCAAATATGGTCACACTAACCTGTATTCCACTGAGTCGTGTCCATTAATCCAACACAAGTTGACTGCATCAGCGCACAAGAGCTGTTTTTTTTTCTTTGCTTAGTTTATGCAAATGAGTCTTACGGTTTTAAGTTTTGTTTCTGTGAGACTTGCACAAATCTGCATTAAACATATTATCATGTCAAACGGGCTGATGTGGCTCTAGAGTGGTTACGGTTTATATGTCGTAAAATTGAATTTATTTATGCAGATTAGTAGTGCAGATAGTGATAATAATGATGACCAAAACGTTAATGATTAATCGATAATCAATCATTAGTAATTCTCCCAACGACTGATTAAGAACATTTAATCAAATGCCCATCCCTAATAGCAACTAGTGTTTATATAATTAGATTGCATAGAGCTACACTGACACTGAGATATGAGAACAATGATTAAGCAGCTTCAAAGTGTTAACATTCAAAAGTTTACTAAAAGTTTTGCAGTCACCGTCCTCACATTCAAAAGCATTAATCTGAATGTAGATGTGCCCTGAAGGCTCTGAAAACATGTTCTGTATATTTAGGGGTGTAACAGTACATGTACCGAACATCCTGTACCAAAATAATTCAGCACAGGACGTTTGGTTTCGTGCAGGGCTGTGTACGAGTCAAGTCACGCAATATGTGTGTGTTTAAAGCATCTTTCTTACAAATAAATACACCTACAATTGAAATTAAATTCAAGCTGGATACAGTTAATGCCATAGTAAAGAACTTTCTTGGCCAAAAAATAACATCTCATGATAGCGGATCCCCATAAGAAAGTTACAAAGTGCACCTTTAACCAGGCAGAATAATTATTAGAATGATGTATGGTTCAATAAATGGGAGATGAACAGTACTTTCTGGGCTCAATTTTTTTTGGTAAGCTTTTTTTTTGTAGATAATTGTCATAATTTGTTGTCTGTATGTATTTTGTGTGAACAGTTGTTGCAGAAAGTGGATGTTGTGGAGTCCTTACAAATCATTGGTTCTTACAACAAAATGCGAACCTTCAAAGTCACCTTTCACTTCCTGTCACCTGAGTGTTACCAGGACGATAAACTTTTGACCCCATCCCAGATCCTGCACTACATGGAAACAAGGTGAGAGGAGAGGAGTCATTATTAAAATACAAGACTTAACTAAAATTGGAGAGGAGAGGGTCATATTCATTCATATTTAGACATTTACAATATTATTAACTGCATTTAATTTTCTTCATTTTGTTACCAGGTTTTTCCTTCTTCTAGCTGATGCCATAAAGAAGCACAGCGCTAAACTAGCTTCTATTTCCGTGGAAACAAGAAAAGCAACTCTCAGAGACAAAGACAATGAAGGAGATGGACCAGGTGGCTCTGCAGCTGTAAGAGTCATTTGTGAGCTTTAAGTCATGTTATAATGTTGTTACCTCCTCAAACACAGACACATACAGTCGTGGTCAAAAGTTTACATACAGTACACGTTCAGAAACTAAATCCCCTACTAACTTCAAGTTACACGCTTCATCCTTGAATAAGCGGCCATTCTGGAATGCATAGGGTAATCGCTTTTTGGAAATAAGAAGAAAAGGCATAACTTCCTGTTAATCATTTATTTATTTAATAGTTCTTTTAACAGCACAACTTTTTCAGTGGTTCATAAGTTTACATACACCTACTCGTTCAGGGCTTAGTACTTCGTTGCATTTCCATTGACCTTGATAACTTCAGCAAGTGGCTTTGGATATCCTTCAATCAACTTCTCACAGTAATCCCTGGAGATCTTGGGCCATTCCTCCTGGCAAATTTCGTACAGTTGTGCTACGTTTGTTGGTCTCCTCTTACAGACTTGTTTCTTCAGTTCACTCCACACATTCTCAATGGAATTGAGGTCCAGACTCTGTGAAGGCCACTCCAACATGTTCACCTTGTTTGTCTGGAACCATTTTGATACTATTTTGGCTGTGTGTTTCGGGTCGTTGTCCTGTTGAAACATCCAATTTCGACCAAGCTTCAGACATTTGACAGAGTTTTTGAGGTTTCTTTGCAATATTTCTATGTAATCCTCTTTCCTCATGATTCCACTGATCTTCTGGAGTTCTCCAGTTCCCGACGCTGCAAAGCAACCCCACAACATGAGACTTCCTCCACCATGCTTCACAGTTGTAACTGTATTGTTGGGGTGGAAGGCTTCACCCTTTCGCTGGAAAACATACTGTTGGTCAATATGACCAAATAGTTCAATTTTCATCTCGTATAACCACAGCAAATTCTTCCAGAAGGCCTTATCCTTGTTCAGGCTGTTTGGCAAACTTCAGTCGTGCTTTTCTGTGCCTCTCTTGAAGTAATGGCTTCTTTCTGGCCCGACACCCTCTCAGCCCATGTCGATGGAGAACTCTCTTGACCGTGGATACTGATACATCTGTTCCAGAGGCAGCCAATTCATTGCAGATGGCTTTCTTGGTCGTCTTTGGGTTCATTTTCACTTTTCTGACCAAAAGCATTTCATCTCTGGGTGTTAGTTTCCGCCTCCTTCCAGACCGTGGCATTACAGCTGTACTTCCACGGTGCTTAAATTTTTGGACAATTGTCTGAACAAATGCTCTAGGGACATGAAGCCGCCTGGAGATGGTTCCTAGGGATGAGCCTGCCTTGTCCAAGGTCACTATTCGGTCCTTAATGTCCTGAGTGTGTTGTTTTGACTTCCCCATATCAAGTCCCCATATGCAGTGTGTGTGAAGTTAAGCTGTTTATATACCCCTCAAATGTATAAAACCTGTTAATTATGCAATATGACTGAACACTGGACTAAATGGGACCATTGCATGGTTGATTGCACAAGCTGCCTTCAACCAATGTATTGTTTATTGGGCAAGGCATGTGGGTGTATGTAAACTTATGAACCACTAAGAAGTTGTGCTGTTAAAAGAACTATTAAATAAATAAATGATTAACAGGAAGTTATGCCTTTTCTTCTTATTTCCAAAAAGCGATTACCCTATGCATTCCAGAATGGCCGCTTATTCAAGGATGAAGCGTGTAACTTGAAGTTAGTAGGGGATTTAGTTTCTGAACGTGTACTGTATGTAAACTTTTGACCACGACTGTAGTTGTTTTGTTTCATTCAAATGTTTGAGTAAATTAGTCTGTTTACATCAGGAAAGTTCAAAATGCTCTGTTTCACCTTGTGATGTCGTGAAGTGGTAGTTTTCAAGTTAACTGCTTCTTTTACCTTTTGTTCAGTAGAGATTGGTAATTCCAGATCTGAAATCATCCAAATTATTCTAGTGAAAGTGAATGGAGTTTAAAAACACAATATCCTGTATTACCACATGACATCACAGGGTGGAACAGAATGTTTATTGTTTGAGAGAAGAACTCATCCCAAATGTGCAGGGTTTGTGTGTTAAACATGTGTGAATGAAACAAAACACAACTCTAGGTCTGTTCTGTTTGCGATGAGGAAACTACATTAGGACAGATCAGAGAATATATATATATATATATATATATATATATATATATACACGGACCCTTTAATAATAACTAATAAAGATCTATATTTGAATGTCTTGTGTGGAACAGTTGGATGAGGACGACGGGGAGGAGCAGGAGCAGGAGATTGTGGACGACAAAGAAAATGAAGGAGATGCAGACGCCACAGACGCCAAACACAAAGACAAACAAGAAGAAGAGGTAACACTCACTACTGCTGCTACTGTTACTGCTACTACTGCTAGTGCTGCTGCTACTACTACTACTACTTCTAGTGCAAATGCTACTGCTATTTCTGCTGCTACTACTGCTGCTACTACTAATGTTACTACTAATGTTAGTACTACTTCTTCTACTAATGCTACTGCTACTATTACTGCTGACTTTAGGATAAATATCGAAGGTTAATAATATAACTCAGATTACATCATTTTCAGTTTCAGTGAAATTAGGGTGGTGCAAAAATGAGACCACAACAAGAACTACTATGCATCTACTACTTTGTATGGCCTTCATTATTTTTAATGACAGTTTCAAGTCTTCTAGGCATGGAATGAACAAGTTGGCAACATCACTCCATTCTTCAACAATGAACTCTTTCAGAGACTGGATGTTGGATATAGAGTGATGCTCATATTGTCTCTTCAGAATACCCCAAAAGATGTTCAATTGAGTTCACATCAGGTGACATACTTAGCCTCGGAATCACTCTCACCCTGTTCGTCTTCAGAAAGGCAGCAGTGGCCTTAGATGTATGCTTAGGGTCATTGTCATGTTGGAAAAGTGCACGATGACCAATGGCACGAAGTGATGGAAGCATCTTCCTTTTCAGTATAGAGCATTACATTTCTTAATTCATGATGCCATCAATGAAATGCAGCTCCCCAACACCAGCAGCAACTCCACATGTTACCACCTCCATGTTTTACTGGAGGCACCGTGCATTTTTCTTTGTATTCCTCAACTTTGTGACACCATACAGTTTTGTATTCCATCTAAAAAAAAATTAACCACTTTTGCAATAGTATTCTTATTAATTATTAATTACTACTAATAAGTAAGGTTTTGCTGATCTTCACCTTTCTGGTGTAAAGAAATTATTTTCTTTCTCAGATCTTGTGTCATTTCTTTTCCATGTGGTGCAATTGCTGACAGCAGGAATGTGAATAGGTTTGCTTTAAGTAACACCCTTTTGTAGCCAACTTGAACCATACTTGTTCAATTACTCATTTTGAGACTAAAATGTAGCTTTGCTCTGAGCCTTTCAGTAGGATGTACTCATTTTTGCACCACCCTAATTTGACTAAAACTGAAAATGATGTAATCCAAGTTATATTATTAACCTTAGTTAAAAAATGTTTTTTCAACAGTTACTGTATTAGGCTTAGTCTGTGCACATTTTGCAAATATTTTTTTTTTGTGTTCATTGACATACTGTTTAAAATGTTACTTTTCAAAATGGGTGTACTCATTTATGCTGAGCACTGTAAATTTGTTGTGTTTTATTGATGTAATGTACAGAAAACAAAACAATGGTGTAATTTATTGAATTTTTCCAGGTTGACTATGATAGTGATGAAGAGGAGGTAGATGAGGCAGAGGAACCCGAAGAAGAAGACGAAACTCAGTCAAAGGATGAAGCGAATGAAGAAAGGAAGAACCCCACAGCACTCCTTGTGACCAGACTGAAGAGGCAGAAACGCAGTAAAGTCAAAGCTGCTCCGGAGGTCATGGACGAGATGAGAGTGAATGCTGTGCTGATCTCGAGTTCTTCCATAGAGGGGTACAGATATGACCATGTGAACGAGCTCTGGTGTGAGGTGAGTACAAGCACAATACAGAATGATTTAAACATGAATATCTGGGGTGGAACCTCCCTCTTTTAAGACGTTTACTTCCCAATTACAAGCACAACTAATTCAAGTCTAATTAGATGTTACTGACATTTTGCTTTTAGTACATAAATCAAGATATGAACATTAATAACAGACAAATCAGGCTCCTTCTTTCCCTTGACAGTAATTGCATTTATACACCGCCTTTCAAGCCAACAAAGCACTTTACAGAGCAGTATTCATTCACTCCACACTCAGTGGTGGCTGTTGTAGACATAGCTGCTCTGGGATAGGCTGACTGAAGTGAGGTGGTCAGTCTGCACCACCTAATACTTTTAGCTGTCTCCGATCTAAATTCTAACTGACAAGGCCAGGCTTTGACTCTCTGGAGGCTTGTTACTTTCAACATTCACATTTCAGATACTTGCAGTTGGAATTCCAAATATGAAACTTGCCCCCAAATTCACCCCCAAAACTGTAGCCTTGATGAGCTTCATTTGACTGTATGAAGAAGCGTCCTGAGGGAGTGTGATATCACCCACAGCATTTGGCTCCAGACTATTGTAGTAATACATGTTCCTCTCTTTAGGTGGACCTGATGTTACCGGTGACCAAGGTGCACTTTGACCTCACCAGCGTCATCTCATCTCTGGCCAAAAGCGCCGTTGTCATGGAGACGAAGGGTCTGACGCGCTGCCTCTTGAGTGAGGTCACCACGAAGAATGGAGAGAAAGAGACTGTACTGAACACAGAGGGAATAAACATGCATGAGCTGTTCAAGTACTGTGATGTGAGTACTACTACTATTACTACTGTAGGACCACTTCTACTTCTACTGCTACGCCTGTACTGAACATTGAGCTTATCATCATGCACCATCTGTTTAAGTACTGCAGTGTGAATACTGATGCCACTACTACTACTACAACTGACCAATGATAATACTAGTGCTACTGATAAGTACTACTGCTGTTGCTGAACTTAAGTTTTCTTACTTGGACTTGAAGTTAAGTTTATTTAACATTGATTAGATCCTCCATTTGATTTGTTTTATGAATTTGACTTAATTCAAATAATGCCGCAACTGTCCAAGGGCAGACTGACTGGAGTGAGGCTGCCTGCTCACTGGTGGGTTTGTGGGTGGGAGAAATGTAAGGACACAGTGATAGAGCTTGGTTCGAGCAGAAATTGAACCTCTGACCTCAGGACTGGTGGATTAGTGCTCTAAGCCCTGAACTGCTGTATATTTAAAAATCTTACTAGATTTTAACACAATTTACTGTGCTAGTGAAGATGGTATGAAGTTTGAAGTAACATACATAATATAATATAGTATAATATAATACTTTATGTTTGGTTTATCAATTTTTTTGTTTATGTTTCAGATCCTGGACCTGAACCGTCTTTACTGTAACGAGGTCCACGCGATGGCCGCCACCTACGGCATCGAGGTCGCCCTGAAGGTCATTGAGAAGGAGATCAAGGATGTGTTTGCTGTCTATGGTGAGGGCTGGACCAGGACTTTGGCAGGACTTTGGCAGGACTTTGGCAGGACTTTGGCAGGACTTTGGCAGGACTTTGGCAGGACTAAATCAGAACTTGACAAGAACTGTACTACAACTACAACATGGATTCTACCTGGACGACTGAGGGATTTTTCACATATACTACAACTATAACCCAGGACTACACCAGAACTGAACTATAATTAAACAAGAACTAAACCAGGATATAACAAGAATTATATCATGATTATATTATGACAAACTGGGACCAAATCTGGACTAAATCGGGACTAAACCAGCACTAAATCAGCACTAAACCAGAACTAACACTGTACCTGTGTGTAGGCATTGAGGTGGACCCCAGGCACCTGTCTCTGGTGGCAGATTACATGTGTTTTGAGGGAGTGTACAAACCTCTGAACAGACACGCCATGCAGTCCAACTCCTCCCCTTTGCAGCAGATGACCTTCGAAACCAGCTTCAAGTTCCTCAAGCAGGCCACCATGCTCGGTAAGAGGGGGGTTATAATGGAGAGCTATGAAAGTGTCATGTAGTGGTAGTTTTAAAGTTAACAGATAAATTTTACCTTTAGTTTGACTGAAATTATCCAAATGAAACTAATGAAGGTGTATGTAGTTTAAAAACACAGTATGAGTGAAAACTACAGCTTCATGAAATCACAAGGTGGAACAGAGCATTTTGAGCTTTGGACATGTACACAGACTTGTAATAAAGGATTATTGTGTGTGAATGAAACAAAACTCAACTCCGGGGTATGTTTTTGATGAGGGAACAACCTTATAACATGGCTTAAAGCTAATATGTTATAATATATAACTGTAATATGTTTCTTTTTTGTGTGTGTGTTTTGTAGGTGCTCGTGATGAACTGGAATCACCATCCGCTTGCCTCGTAGTTGGAAAAGTTGTGAAAGGAGGAACAGGAATCTTTGAACTGAAACAACCTCTTCAATAGACCACAAAATCAAAACGGAGGATTCTTAAAATTCAAAAAGCTCTCAGGAATGTTGTCAGTGTCACTATAGGTTTGTAAACACACAGTACTAGTCAGAAGTTTGGACACACCATCTAATTTTCTTTATTTTTACAACTTTCTACATTTGATAGACATTCATATATGAAATAAGATGTAGGAAAAAATGAAAAAAAAAAATTAAATAACACACAATATATTTTTTTATATTTTATATTTAAATTCTCTAAGTAGCCACCTTTTGCTTTGCTAAAAAATGTTTAGTCAAGCATGGCAAGGCAAGTTTATTTGTATCGCACAATTCATACACAAAGTAATTAAAAGTGCTTTGCAGAATAAGAAATTAATATTATATAATATCAATTTAGACATTAAACAAACATTATACGAAAAAATCAGAACATAAATTATCCTAAAAAAAATAACTTAAAAAGAAAGAAGAGTAGTTATTTTCCTTTTTTTTTTTTTTTACAATGTAATTCTATAGATGTTACTTCATATATTTGATGTCTTCTGTATGTATTTAAAATGTATATAAAAAAATAAATGAATTAATTGAATGAGAGGGTGTGTCCAAACCTGTGACTGGAATTGCACTATTAATGGCAAGAAAGTTTGAGTTAAATGTAATAACTCACCTGAGAGGTCTTCCTGGACTATTATCAAGCTTATGTATATTACTATAGGCTTGTAAACCTATTATTCACCTCCTGAACCTGAATTGAGTTTTGTTATGTAAAATAGTCACGCAAGTTTTTCTAGTGATAGCTATGTTTATTCTGTCAATAATGCATTGGTTGTTTTGGCAATAAGAGCATACATGCCATGTGTTATATTTTATTAAACCAAAAAGTGAGTATCGAATTTTTCAGATGAGTCTGAATATTAAATGTACATTTTAAAAACATTCCTGTGTTTTTTCATATGAAATCCTAGTCGGTTCCTCAGTTTCACCTTTAAGCTTTTCAACTGTGATTAAAGGTCCTATATTATGCAAAATTGACTCTTAGGCGCTTTAAGTTGTTGTGTTTCATTCACAGTTGTTTGAGTAATCCTGCTTTATTAGTCTGCATCTCCAGTGCTCAAAACACTCTGCTCCGTCTTGTACAGGTAGTTTTCAAATTTGCATCTACCGTTTTACCTTTTGTGTAGTAGAGATTGGCTATTCCAGTGCTGACATTATCCAGTGAGGGTGTATGGAGTTTAAAAACACAGTGGAGCACTTCTTGTATTGCTGCATGACATCACAAGATCGAACAAGGTGTTTTCTGTTTTGAGAGAAGAACTCAGCATAAATATACAGGATTTGTGTGTTAAACATGTGTGAATGAAAGAAAATACAACTCTGGGTCTGTCTGTGATGAGAAAACTACATTATAACAGACAATAGCATAATATGGGCCCTTTAAGATAGACAATAATAATGTCATACTGAGGAAGCAAAAATAAGCAGCTGCCAGACCCTCCACTAGGACTATATGATCTTTGATCAATTTTAAGCGGTGTTTCCAAAATGTTTTAGTAATAGTGCATTTCCAAAAAAGATGACTTATTGTTTTGGGATATTCTTTACAAAATGTGCAGTTAGGATTAATTGTTTTAATATATTTTAGCATAAATTGGTTAGTAGGGTAAATTTTGTGCATAAGTTTAAAGGAGACATCCCTCATCTTAATATAATTTTTTGATTCACAGTCCATCCTTTCTTTCATATAGTGTTAGGGCCAAAATTTCTCCAGTAAAACCTGGCAGAGGGTACAGAGGTAACCTCTTGTTGGAACAGAGCACGTATTTTCCGATTGTTCCTACGAACATGACTAAAACAAACTTTATAGTAATATAGTGTATGAAGTTCCTACTTTGAGGGCTTTTATTATGACAGACCGGATGTTGTGGTTTGTTTCTCGGCCTCTGATTGGCTGTTTGACAGGAGGCTGAGGTCTGCGTGCGCCTGCCTTTCTTTGATGAAAAAACGAAAGAATTTAGCTAAATATTTTCACATTTTCGCCTCAACTGCAGTCTTACATGTTGCTTCGCGATACATAGAAAGGTAAGACGCTTTATTATGTTTATAAATCATGCAGCAGTAAAGTTAATAGTAAAGATTAGAGGAATTTTCCTGCATCGTCTGGCGCATATGTAATCCTAGCATACATAACGGTGTCTAAAATATTACCTAAAAACATCTAAAATTTCAAATAAATGATTTTACACTTAGGTTAAATTATACACTGTCTATTGGCATTTTAATAAAGCCACATCGAAAAAAATACGAGACACATCCCTGTTTCACTTGAGCATCGAACTGTGGCGAAAGGTTACGTTCTATATCATCGTTAGACTAGGCTTCCTCGTTTTATCTTTTTTTTTTGTTTTGTTTTTGTTTTCATTTTTACTATCTCATATAGATTCAGTCGTACCCTTCTCTCGATTTAATGTGCCTGGTTTGAGGCTGGCTTTTATGTTTTGTTTTGTTTTGAGTTTTTTTTTGTAGTTTTTATTTCTCATCCTTAGCTGAGACTAATTATCAAGGATTCTAGTTAGTAATGGAACTTTTGTGTAAATCCTCTTCTAGTTTTTGTCAACTAGAAATAAAAAATAAAGATAAAAAATTGATATTGGCGTTTTTTAGCCGATAAAATGTTCTACTTCTTGTCCCGCGTGTACTTTTGTCCTTACGTATTTTATTATTGCTCATGTAACACTAATCAACCTTTTGGACACGAGACCGCCATAAACGCACTTTTATAAACTGGAATTACTTTTCTATTTAGCATTTTTACATCTTTATAATTTCATATTGTGGATGTGTTAAAGGTGCATTGTGTAACTTTTCTGATGGAGGTTCTGTCAAATGCTTGTGTTATTGCCTTGTCTGGGATGTTTTACAAAATGGCATTAAACCTGTCATGCCTGTTTGTCAAGGCATTTTTGAACTATAAATCCACCTGTAAAACCATCACAGATCTAAACTGAAGCTTGGCACGGTGAGTTCACTTTAATGTCATACTGCAATTACATCTAGGCAAGATGAGGCACGTTTATTTATTTGTTTAAAGCAATTCATACAGAAAGTAATTTAAAGTGCTTTACAGAATAAGAAATACATTAAAATCACAATACAAACAAATGAAAACATAAATAAATTTAAAGAGAGAGAGACATTAAATGAGAGAGAAGAGTGCAGAATGAAAACCTTTTAATCCTATGTACACCTAAACAACAGCTAAAGTCTATTCTTTGAGCCACAGGGAACCAGTGCACAGGACTTATGCACTCATATTTCCTGGTTCGAGTAAGGACTCGAGGTGCAGCTTTCTGGATGTACTGCAGTGTCTCACAGCTCGTTTGGAGAGGCCAGTGACCAAGCTGTTACAGTAGTCCAACCTGCTGGAGACAAACGCATGGATAAGTTTTTCAACAGATCACTTCTCCAGAGTTGTTCTTCATGAAGACAGAAAGGTTTAATGTCATGCTCTTAAACATTCTAGACAAAGCAATAACATCTATATGGAGAAAAGCGTTTGACAGGCCCACTGCCGAAAAAGTTACACAGTGCACTTTTAACAAAGAAATACTGTTGCTAAAATATATTTCGTTCTTATAAACAATAAAAAAAACAACAAGCGATCATATTGATTATTGCATGTTTCTCCATATTGTGATAATATCGAGTATCGTATCAAATCATGAGGGACCTTGCGATTCCCAGCCCTAGAAACTATGGTACTCAAAAGTCAATGTTTACGATATTCAATTTGTGATTAAAGTTGCAGTCCTAGCTTTCATTTATTACTCGTCACTTGTTATTGTCATATGATGGTTTTCTGACCATTTTTTTTAATATGGATATAGCAATAGCATGATAGATAGATGCAAATTTTTAACACATAGTTGTAGTGGACCAGTTAAAGAGCCCATATCACTATTTACTGATCTACTGTATGTTACTGTATGCAGTTTCCTCATCACAAACAGACCTGAAGTTGTGTTTTGTTTCATTCACACATGTTTAACACGCAAACCCTGCAGATTTATGATGAGTTCTTTTCTAAAACAGAAAACACTCAAACACTGTTCCACCTTGTGATTTCATGTGCCACTGTGTTTTTAAACCCTGTACACCTTCACTAGAATAATTTGGATAATTTCAGCCCTGGTAGCTGTTAGCCTGAAATCGTGACATCACAAGGTGGAACAGAGCATTTTGAGGTTTGGAGATGTAGACAGACGAATAATAAAGTAACACTCAAATATGTGTGAATGAAAGAAAACACAACTCTAGGTATGTTTATGATGAGGTAACAGCATTATAACATGTCTTAAAGCACACAAGAGTCAGTTTTGTGTGATGGAACCTTTAAGTTCACTTAACATGTAGCTGACCAATTGTGTTGTAGCTAATGATTAATGTAAAACAAGTATTGACTGACTGTGACAATCTTTGTGTAGGCCAGAGGGCAGACTGAGAAAGAGAAGTGCAGTGTCTGTGACCCATCCCACCCTGCACCCAAAGGACACTGGGACAAGCATGAGGCTGGTTAAACGCTTAGCTGCTAACAGGTAAGGAGCGGGCTAATACTTGACAATGAAGTCACATGATCAAATTTGAGTGTTAATGAGAGGGTAATAGTCTCAGACAAACTTTACTGATCCACAAGGAAAATTACTTGGACACAGCAGCTCATACATCACAATATATTATAATAACAAAGAGGAAAAAAAAATATATATATATAAATGGTTGTAATAAATTCTTAATAAGTAGCAAAAATAACAAGAGTCTGTCATTAATAAGGTATAATTATATAAGTATATATGTACAAGTCAAAATAAAATTAAATAGAAATAAATAATACAAAACCTTGAATAAACCAGGACAAACCCAAGCCTTATCAGGGCCTTATCAGGGCCTTAACCAAGTCTAAACCTGGACTACACAAGGTCTAAACTGAGACTAAAGTGGGTCTAAACCAAGACTAAACTGGGACTAAACCAGGACTAAACCACCATTAAACAGTAAAGCAAAGGACAAACCTGACTTTATCTAGACTACTCAAGCACTAAACCAGGCCAAACCAGAGCCTTAACTGGACTTCACCAAGACTTAACTAGGTCTAAACCAGGTCTAAACTGGGATCAAACTGGCACCAAACCAGGACTAGGACTACAATGAGCAGAAGTCTTTATTGGTCATATTTACATGGTATATTTACATGGCATGACATTGTTCCATGAACACGTAACATGAGCGTTTATCTGTGCGGAACTTTCAGAGAAATACTTGAAGCTGATTGGTCGAGGGGTCACCCCAAAGGAACAAGCCACACAAGCAAACTTCTCTTAAATCCGTTTGTTTAACAGCACAAATCATCTCACCTGTTGTAGTTCCAGCTAAATTGTTTTTTTCTGGTCACACTGTGTTAAAACAAAGCCCAGATTAAAGTCCTAACTTGAGTAACAGCTTCCGACAGAGCAGAAGCTCTATCACAATGACATCAGCTGCAACTAGGGATGGGCATGATTAATCGATTAATTGATAATTGATCATTAAGAATTTCATCTATTACGTTAATTTTAATCGACAAACCGTGGCTCATGTGTTGCCAGGGGGAGGGCGACACACTCTCTGCTTCGCAGGGTTCACTTGTTCTATTGACCTTCGGTCAATTGTAATAATTTCATGTTCATTTGAACAGGCTCGTTTCTTTTAGACCTTTTATAATTTCATGTTAATGTTATACTTTACTTGAACAGGTTCGGTTTCTTTTTAGAGCTCATAATTTAAATAAAAACCACTAATACTTTTTGTCGTAACAATTTAGATTTTATTTTACAGTACTGTTTTTTAATCGGTTCTACTCTTTTGTCTTTATATTAAATCTGACTCCTTTCTTCGTGTTCTACTTTTTGTGCGCAACTTAAGTTTTTTTATTCTTTTTTTATATAAACTGAATTAAAAGTTTTGTTTTTCTTCTGCCTAAAAGTTTAACCACAGACATATATTTTCTTATAAAACCAGCTTTTTCTATCTCTCGTGAAAGCTATAAACACGGGACCTTATAATTAATAACTTTGTTAATTACGCTTTATCTGATTAAAGCCTAAACATACTATTAATTTTGTTTTCAATCTCAATTAACATACTTCTGGCTTATTTTCGACGTGAAGCCTTTTAACACGGATTCGAGCTTTGCTTTTTTTGGTCCATGAAGCTTAACATGCTATAATTAGTCTGTATTATTTTACTCAAATTAATCTCACAAAAGTCCCAATAAGCACATCACATCAATTCAAGAGACAGAAATTCTGACCTTTTCCTTGAAACGAGCGCTCTCTGTCACGTGCGTATTAGGATTTCCGTGAAGGGGAACGTCTTGACCTTTGGCCTCCAGGAGTCTCTTCGGAACCACATCAGGATCACGTCGCGGGTCACCAAATTGTCAGCTTCTCCTGGAGGCAGCCTGAACAGAGGATCTTAAGAAAGAGGCTTGGAGAGTTAGAACAGTTCTCAGACATGTCTCTTTATTGGTTCAGGCAGGTACAGGTCTCAAGAGTCAAGTTGATTCAGCATGATTTCCCTATGCGGCGTCTCTGTACGTCGGTCGTCCCTCAACAGCGCAGTCGACGTTCCCCAACTAATGCACAGAAAAAAAGGGTGCCTTTTATACCAGCATAACTGTTGAGTTAACATCTTCATGGAAACATACACAGCAGTTTTGTCCCAACACGTGTCCCATAACAGACTGACATATGCTAAAGGTTGGAGACACACCCCGTATCTGTCCCATATACATTCACAGTCCATATGACATCATATCCCAACCCATTGACACTCCAAAGTCCAGAAACATACACAAAATGTCATTGTACACAGGGATTCATTACAGGGCGAATTAACATATGAATGAAACTTTAAAAACACAGGGAAGAAGCCCGCATTGCGCAAAACTGAATTAAACACATTATAATGTCAAACGGGCTGATGTGGCTCTAGAGTCGTTACGGTTTATATGTCGTAAAGTTGAATTTATTTATGCAGATTAGTAGTGCAGATTGTAATAATAATGATGATAATTTTAATATAAAAACATTAATGATTAAACGATAATCGATCGTTAATTCTTCAATCTTCGATCAATAAAGAAAATTTCATTGAATGCCCATCCCTAACTGCAACGTATTCATAGAATATAGTGTGTCAGTGCAAAGATTCTCCAAGGCACTTTAGACAAGGCCAGACTTGAATTCAGTTCTTTTTTTTTTGTTTTGTTTATTTCTCCATTGGAATTTCTGCCAGTGGATTTGTTTATTCAAAGCCAACAATGCGCCTTTGTATCTGTGGAGAATTAATAGCTTTTGGATCAGATAATAGAAACTAGATACGCAAATGGTGCATACTCTATGGAGTAAGAAAGCTGTCAAAAATATTCGTGCGCATAAAATAGAAATCCGTGCGTATTTGGGAAATCCGTGCATATTTGGCTGTAGTTGCGCATAAAATAAATATTTGTATGGATCAAATACACACAATATATTTTATGTACGACTGGACTCATTTGAGAGTTTACAAATATTTATTTTATGCGCAACTACAGCCAAATATGCACGGATTTCCCAAATACGCACGGATTTCTATTTTATGCGCACAAATATTTTTGACAGCTTTCTTACTCCATAATACTGTTATACATAGGGAAATCATGCGCAAATGTCTTTAGCAATTATTATTATTACAGTGACAAAACTACCTATTGCAGCAGTAGTTGCCGCTGTTGTTATATTCCCTCTAGGGTTGTCAAAAGTATTGAAAATCAGATACTAAAACTAGTATTTGAGCAGGTATCGATACTAAAAAGCCCCATTGGCAGGACAGAAATGAAGCTTTCCTGAATGTCTTTAAAATGATATTGAGCTGTATCAGAACAAGTATAAGAGCACATAGACTAGTATACACCCATGGACCACTGTGGAACCTACCTGGACCACTGACGGATATAAGGACACATGGGAATAGAAAAGCAAGTATTACCATGTAATGTTGAAAATCACATGCTGTTGTTGTTGTTGTTGTTGTTGTTTTTTAAATAATCATAGCATCACAATAAGTATTCAATTAAGAATTCAGTATCAAGTCTTTTCCTTAGTAGCAAAATTGAGTTTGGAATTTTATTATCATGACAACACTAATTCTACTACTAATACTACTAATTACAATCTGGCCACAATGAGTTTAAAGGCTTAAAGGACCAGTACTCAATTTTTCCCATGGGCCCGGTCAAGCAGAAGTAAACAACAAGGCCAAAAATTCAAGTTAATGCATCTGATATAAAAATGTATTCAACAGATACATATGTACTCTAGTTTATGAAACTGTTGACCTTTTTTCTGTACCATTTTTGGTTCTCAAGTTACATAAATTTTAAACAGACCATGTATGAAACATGGAACAAAAATTATTTCCCAAATTTCAAAGACCTGCAAATCATGTAAATAAATTGATGTATTTCATCATATCTTGTGTTATTCCATCTTTGAACTGTTGATGAAGGTACATGATTTAAAAAAAAAAAAATATTTAAAATGATAAAAATTTGCTTGGAAGGACTGACATATTTTATAGAAATAGTTTCCTTTCAAAAAATCATGCACCTTCTACTTGCTTGCACAATTTTCCTCTGTTACTTTTCCCTCCGTTACCATGACCTTTCTTCATAAAAAATCTCATTACTCAAAAAGTAAGAGGTTTTTCAACCTAATCTTGTACCATATGGTAGAAAACTATATGAAGCAAATATTCAAACCAGTTTGTTAAGGATATGTAAGTGAGAACCACTAGTTATCACTGTTTGTATTTATTGCCCAAAAAGTGCTGCATATTTCATTCACTCCATTACCGACATGAGTTTTTTAATTTTTTGTCAACAACTTGAAAGAATATCGCAGGGTTAACTTTACCCTGTTGGAGTGCTGACTCTTTCCTACATTCTAATACCTTACTTATTTCAATAGTTCCTCTAGTTTCTGAATAAGAGCTATTTGAATGTAAAAAATCTGCCCCAGTTTCCCTCCGTTACCGCTTGACCTGACCCCCATATTTTTTCAACAGAATTTTTGTTACAGATGTGCTGCAGCTCTTTAGGTCAAAATAAATCCGCTGTGTGCTGTAATTATAAAGCATTATAGCTTCAGAGAATCAGGAACTACACATTGGCATGCTAGTTGTTGTTAGCACTGTCATGACAGCAAACTCCTCAGGTGAATAATTAGGATGCTCTGAATGTGCAAGGTAAGTGAGGAAAAACTTGCTACTGTTGCAAACTAGTTCTGTTTTTTTTTTTTTTTTTTTTTTTTTTTTTTTAGGTGAAAACAACAAAACAAAAAACAGGTACTGTGCCTTTAGAGTTTCAACATAGTAATTGAATGTAATACGATAATAGTTTTCAAGGGCATGGCATTAATAATAATTGCAGGATATATGGAACTTTTTGAGGACTTTTTCACATCCAAAATTTTTAATATTTTGTTTTTAATTGCTAATCACTCATGGTTCCAAAACCCAT